CTGGGAGGGCACTGTGTGGCCGGGCCTGGCAGGCCCACAGGAACCCAGAGAGGGCCTCGGGCTTCCTGGCCCTCGTTCCCAGGGCAGACTCACAAAGGGGAAGGGAGAGAGCCTACAATCCCATATATCAGCTTTTGTTCCCAGACACTAATCCTAATTCCTCTGGGTGTTTCAACACGCCCAACACTGTGAGCTTCCTCCTCAGGTCTCCAGCAGCTGCTTCCAGCTCCTGGGCTGAGTTGAGTGGAGGGGGTGGGTGGAGATCTGAGGGTCCCCGTGGAAGCCATGGCCGCCCCCCAGGTCCCCCATTTAGGCTTGGTCTTATGGCTGCTCGGGAAATGTTTCTCCTCTTTTTTCCCTTCCACCCACCGACTCTGGGGTTGCTCTCTGTCTCTGCCTCAAGCCATTGAGGCAAGAGAGAGCCACCATCAGAATTCGATTCAAAGACCTCACCATGGCCCCTGAGGTCCTGCATGATGCCTAACCCCCTGCCCCCTCCCCAACCACATCCCCTCTGCTTTCCTCCCCAGTCCCATTCAGCCACTTGCCTCCAGGCCACTTTCGCCAAGCATGTTTCTACCTCAGGGCCTTTGCATTTGCCGTTTATGCATCTGGACAGCTCTCCCTAGTTTTTTATGTCTTCGCTCCTCGCTCCTCATGCTGGCCCTGCTCAGATGTCACTACCTTCGGGCTTTACCCAGCCATCTGCCAGAAGTAGCAGCCCTCACCTTCTTATCTCTTCTCAGCAATCCTGACCCACCTTCCCCTCTGTTTTCTCCATGTTTCTCTCTTTATCCCACCTACCATGTTGTTTAGTTTTTCACCTATTTAAAGCATACAGTTCACTGGTTTTTAGTCTGTGCACAGAGTTGGTAGCATATTTTCATCACCCCAAAGAGACCCCATACCCATCAGCAGCCACTCCGCATTTCCTTTGGACTCCCCCAGCCCCTGGCAGTCACCAGTCTTTTTGACTCTTAGGGATTTGCTCATTCTGGACGTTTCATGTAGGTGGGATCACACAGTACGTGGTTTTGTGACTGGCTTCTCTCACTGAGCATCTTTCAAGGTTGAGCCACATTGTACGGGGTATCCGTGCTTTGTTTCTTTTGACTGCTGAATCCTACGTACCCCGTCGTGTGTGGAGGCATTCACCGGTGGATGGCCATTCAAGTTGCTTTCACTTTTCAGCTGTTACGAAGACTGTGGACTTACCTTTCATTTCTCTTGGATGTACAGCTAGGAGTAGAATTGCTGAGTCCTAAGGTGACTGTGTTTAACTTTTCTAGGAAGTGCCCGGGCGATTTTCCGAAGGGGCCACACCCCCTTACACTCTGACCAGCAGTGTGTGAGGGCTCCAGTTTCTCCTTGCCAACTCTTGTTATGATCAGTCTTGATTATAGCCTTCCTAGTGCATGTGAAAGGGTCACTCATCATAGTTTTGATTTGTGTTTCCCTGATGGCCAGTGACGCTGGGCATCTCCTGTGCTTACTGGCCACTTGTGCATCTTCCTTGGAGAAGTATGTGTTCGCATTTGGTCATTTGCCCATTTTTAAATTGGGTTGTCTTTTACTGGTCAGTTCTAAGTGCCCTTTATATATTGTTAGGGACAAGTCCCTTGTTATATGTGGGGTCTGCAAATATTTTCCTTCATCTGTGGGCTGTCTTCTCCCTCCCTTGATGGGTGCTTTGTGAGCCACAAAAAAGGTTAATTTTGATCAAGTCCATTATTTCTGTTTTTTCTCTTGTCACCTGTTCTTTTGGCATCATATCTGAGAAACTGTTGCCTAATCCCAGAGCACAAAGAGTTATCCTGTATTTTTTTCCTCAGGATTTTGTAGTTTTAGCTCTTAGATCTCTGTTGAGTTAGTTACTATATATGGTATTAGAAATGGGTCCTACTTCATTATTTTTCATGTGAGTATCTCATTGTCCTAGCAACTTTTGTTAAAAAGGCCCCCCCACCCTTCTGAGAATCAATTGACCATTAATGCGAAGGTTTATTTCTGAACTCAATGCCATTCCGGTGGCTTCTGTGTCTGTCCTTATGCCAGAACCATACTTCCTTGATTATGGAAGCTTTGTAGGAGTTTTGTAGTCAAAGACATGTGAATCCTTTAATTATGTTCTTTTCTACTTTTTCTAGATGCTTTGACTATTCTGGTCTCTTAAATTTCCAAGGTTTAAGTTAAATGTGTCAAATTTCTGCAAAGAAGCCCGCTGAGATTGTGTTGAATTTTTAGATCAATTTGGGAGCATTGTCCTGCCAGCATTTGATCTTCGGAAACATGACTGTGTGATGTCTTTCTATTTATTTAGATCTTCTTAAATTTCTTTCAGTAATTTTCCTAGTTTTCCAGAATATATATATTTTGTACTTCTTTTGTTAAATGTAATTCCATCTATTCTTCTTGATGCTGTTGTGAATGGAATTATTTTCTTCATTGTGGATGTTCACTAGGATGTAGAAATACTTGATTTTTGTATATTGATCTTGTATCCTGAAACCTTGCCAAGCTCTTGTATTCTGATAGTTTTTAGTGGATTCGTTGTGATTTTCTACGTACCTGATCAGAGTATCCACCAGGAGAGAGATTTCTAGTTCTCTCCTTGCACTACTTTTTCTTGTTTGCTTGACCTCATTTTTTTTTCCTCCCACCACAGTGTAAGTTGGTCACTGCCGGGGTCCCCGTGCATAGAACAGCACCTGGCACATGTTTGAATGATGGGTGGAACCAGCAAGGTTGGGTCAGGTGATGCTCCCGGCCCAGGGCTGTGGCTCCTCCCGTGACCACTGCTTTTGACAGGGTCCCAGTCCCTGTCTGGTGGAGGCTGGGCCCTCTCTCTCTCCCTCTCATCTCTGGCCCTCACATTTTCTGCTTGTTCTCAGTCTTGGGGCTGCAGGGAGTTGCTGGGGTCCCCCGTGTCTTCACCAGATGAGACACGTCTCACAGACTCCCCAGGCTGGGCCTTTTGTGGGGCTTGCGGATGCTCCCAGAGGCCCACAAATGAGTGGGTGGTGTACCTGTGTTACCCATGAGGGTGGAGAGTCAGGCCCTGGTTGAGTCATTCAGGGATGTGAGGGCTGGGAGCCCAAGTCTGCCTGACTCGCGTCCTGCTGCCCCTTGTCACAGCCCTGGCAGGATGTGAGAGGAGCCTCGCGTGCAGTCAGGAGGGGGCTCCTCGTAGAGGCTCAGCGCGGGGGGGGGGGGGGGGGGGCAAGGCCAAGGAAAGCAAAAGCATATTTGTTCCTCCCTCACGCCGTTTCCTCTGCCTGGAACTGTCTCCCCCACCGGCTACGCCCCTCTCTTCGTTCCCCTTTGAGCTTGAATGTCACCTCCCTGTGGCCAGTCACCTAATCTGACTCACCCTTTCCCTCCTCGCTCTCCTGGTGACACTGAGTCATCACAGGGATAACTGTCAGTGTTAATCTGTGAATCAAGTCCCCTGCAAGCTCGGAGCCTGACTTGTACTTGGCCCTTGGAGACACGGGTGCGAGTCTCAGGCCCGGAATCCCCGGTGCATCCTGCCTGCCGGGCTTCTCCAGGCTCCTGGGCCTGAGAACCAGGGGGATAGCTGAACGCTCGGACTGGAGTGGGACAGTCCTGGTTTCAGATCCTGCATTGTCAGTCTCTGGGGGTGTGGTCTGGGGTCATCTCTTGGAGCCTCAGTGCCCTCAGCTGTGGGAGAGGGTGGCCCAGAGCCTGCCATCAGGGTTGTGTGCGAAGTGAACACGCCCGTGTTCAGACGCTGCCGCATTTGTGCTGAGCCCCTCCCCTCAGGCCCCAGTCTGGCAGTTAACCTGTGACCCCGGGGTCCCCGGGGTGTGGAGTGGTCACTTCCTCAGCTGTCCAGCACGGCCATTCCTGTTAGATGGGATGATGGGGCAGGAGATAACATCTCTGCGCTGTCCCTTCCCTTCTGCGGCCACCCCTTCCTGAGCACAGGCTCTGCCAGGCGGGCCGTGGGAGGACTGGGGGCCGCACGGGGCTGTGGAACTTGTCGCTGCCACCCCAGATCCTGCTGAGCAGCTGGGACAGGCTCCAGTCACTCCCAGGGCACAAAGCATGGCCCTGTTACGGGGGTGCTGAATTTTTCAGTGTGGTAATACCCTCCCCCACCCAGGTGCAGAAGGAACTTGGGCTGAAGACCAGCTCCCCACTTACCATCCGGGAAGCTGAGGACCCCAAGTTGGTATCTCGGGCTGGTATGGTGAGAGTGAAGCATGCGGCACTGGGAGCCCACGGCTCGGGTTCGAGTCCCTGTTATGCTGTGCATGCAGTGGGCCTCGGGCCAGCGTCTTGGCCCCAGCTCCCGGTGTCTGCGAATGTGGGATTGGCCTAATGACAGTAGCTGTTCCAGACGGTTGTTGGAAGGATTGGCGTGACTGTGGGTCTCTGGCCCTTGGAGCAGTGCCGCCAAAGTGCCGTGAATGCTGTCTGGCACAGGGCAAGTGGGATATGAGCCTTAGACGGTGTTACTGTTACTGTTAACCTTGTTGTTGTTGTCCGTGGTATAGAAGGGGTCTCCGTAGCCAGGCAGCCCTGAGCGGAAGGACAGCTGTTTCCTGACTGGGCGGCATTGAGCAGCTTCCCTCACTTTTCATCTGTAAAATGGGCTCTGGGGCCAGTTTGGGAAGACTGTTGTGAGGGTCTGTTGAATGGCCAGGGGCCAGGGAGGTAATGGCAGAGGAAGGAGCCCCCAAAGCCACAGAACAAGGGTGAGAGGGCAGTGCTGGAAGCGGGGGCAAGGAGTGCCCTCCCCTCTGCCTGACCTCACCCCTACCTTGTGTTTTTTTCACTTTTTTATTACTTTTTTGTTGTTGTTTTTACAACACTACACAAGCATGTCCTTTTTATGAAAATACAGTCACTTTGTGATACAAAGTAAAAAGCGAGAGCTCTGCTGCGCTCCTCTGTCTCCTCCCTAAAGGCCGGTCCTGCCGCTGATACCTGTGTTCACCTGCCCGCTTGTGTTCCCCTGTCTGCCTGCCCTGCAGGGAGGAGGTGCAGGAGAACTGCGTGCGGTGGCGGAAGAGGTTCACCTTCGTGTGTAAGATGAGCGCCAACCCTGCCACCGGCCTGCTGGACCCCTGCATCTTCCGCGTGTCGGTGCGCAAGGTGAGGCTTGGGGGCTAGGGCTTGGGGGTGTGAGGCCACCAGTCCAGTGGCTTTAGCCCCATCCCCTGACCTGTCCCCTCCAGAGGGCAGGGAGTGAGCCCCTCCGCTCCTTGGCTTGACTTATCCCCAGCAGTGAGATTCGGGGCGGAGGTGCTGGGGAGACACGTGAGGTCCCGTGGGTTCTGTAGTTACGCTGCTGCTTCTGTCTCTCTCTGCAGGAGCTGAAAGGCGGGAAGGCTTATTCCAAGGTGAGTGGGGCTGGGAAGGGATAGTGAGATAGACTAGGTGTGGGAGAAGAGCTTCAGCCCCTCTCTGCACCAAACAGGAGGCACTCAGCTCTGCAGATGTATTCTTTCTTAGAAATATCTTTATGGATAGTCTTTGCATTTAGTACAAAGCTACCCTGGGCTTGTTGTAACACAAACGGTACAGAAGTTCAGAGTGGAAGGGGCAGTTTCCACACCCTCCTCTGCAGCCTTCCTCCCCAGATCCCATCCTTGGATTCGTTAAGGTCTTCCCAGACCTTTTAAGGAAAAGAAGATTATGACGTATGCACAGAGCAGCGAGTCAAACCCACGCGCTTGCGGTTTGGAAGAACGGAAAATGAGCACCCCGTGTGTGGACTTGTGTGTGCACAGACAGTAGGCTTCTTACATACACAAAAGGGACTTGTTCTAAACAGATTCTGCAATGTGGTTTTTCACTTGCCAGTATGCCGTGGGCACGTTTTCATAGATCCCTTTTGCTTTCTAACTGTGGCCATGCCCCCCTGTGCGGCTGGGTGGTGGGCACCCAGCTGGTCCCCTGCTGTGGCCCATCTGTGTTGTTGCCGTCTGCTCGGCACCCATGGGGACCAGTGGGAGAACGTGGTTCTGCAGGGGTTGCCTCTGGCTCTGAATGAGCCCGCTCTGCCCTAGACCCCCTTCTTGGTGGGGACACACTGCCCACCTTCTGTGGCCCCTGGGAGGCGGCCTGGCAGCAGGCGGTGAACTCAGTCTACCCAGAGGGGAAATGCCTTTGCCTCACCTTGCCCTGCGTGGAAGGTGTGTCCTTTCCCACTGACTGGAGCTCAGGAAGCTCTGTGTTCTGGGCCATCTGCTCTGCCCCGGCCCGGGCGCTGGTGGCCCTCTCCAGAAACAGGGCAGGGTGGCCAGGACTGGGCTGTGGAAGGTGCTGCCAGAGTGGAAATTTCTCCTCCCGTGAAGTCACATAGGCGCAGACAGCTGCGGCCTCCCACCTCCATCCAGCGGGTACTTACCAGACCTGCAGGCCCTTCCCTTCTGTCCTGTGAGCAAACACCCATGACAGGCCCTGCCTCCACTCTCCAGGGAAGGAAGCTGGGGCCCAGAGGGCAGCTGGTCTGGACACTGGTTGGGCCTGGTCTTGGGCTGTGTGGGGCCCTGGGCAAATCACTTCCCCACTGGAACCTTAGTTTCCTTCCCTGCCAAATGGGGGTCCCTCTGACTCGATGGCAGGGCTGGGATTTGAACCTGCCATGTCTCTGATTCTGGCTTGTGTGCGCCTAAACTCTGCAGTAGAGACTTGCATGTAGTAGGTGCTCAATAAATGCCACCTGTTGGTTTGGTTGTCCTAATCCCAGCAACCTCCCACCTCAACTCAGTTTCCTCTCCAAGGTCTGGAGACCTGGCTTCTTTCGAAGGCTTTCCCAGCTCCTATACCCTGTTCTCGAATGTGCTACCACTTCCCTCTGCAACCCTGGTGCCTCTGTCTGCATCCCAGGAGCAGCCAGGTGTTCCTACAAGCCCCTCACTCCAACCTCCGTGAGGCCCTCCTGCCCGCCCCCAACCCCCACACCGAGTTCCCACGGGCTTTCCCTCCCCCGCTGCCCGCTGGCCTGGCGGCTCCCACAGCACAGCCTTGTTTCCCAGGGAACAATGCCTCTGTGTCACAGACAACAATGTCCTTTCATCTCAGGCGCTGCCCCAGTGCACGCTGGGACGTTGCACAAAGGGTGCTTTGTGTGGCTCGGGGATGTGAGCTCCAGACCAGCCTCTGTCCTTGGGTGCCATTATGCAATACTCAGTCTGGGCTGTGGGGTGGGCCCGGGGGATCTGCCTCCCGCCCCCCCCTCCAAGTGAACTCTTGTGCCACTTGCTGGGCACCCACATCTCCCACAGTCTCCCACACTCTCTCTGTCCCTCCTAGCTGGGCTTTGCCGACTTGAACCTGGCGGAATTCGCAGGCTCAGGCTCCACAGTGCGTTGCTGCCTGCTGGAGGGATATGACACGAAGAACACTCGTCAGGACAACTCCATCCTCAAGGTACCAGGGCCCTGCCCCCCTCTTTTGTCCCCTCCCACCAAGGGGCGGGGGCCAACTTGCTCCTCATCAGAGTCCCCTGGAAGGTTGTTAAAAATACAGATGCCCGGGCGCCTGGGTTGCTCAGTGGGTTGGGCCTCTGCCTTCAGCTCAGGTCATGATTTTGGGTTCTTGGAATCGAGTCCTGCATCGGGCTCTCTGCTTGGCGGGGAGTCTGCTTCCTCCTCTCTCTCTTTACTTGCCTCTCTGCCTACTTGTGATCTCACTCTGTCAAATAAATAAATAAAATCTTAAAAAAAAAAAAAAATACAGATGCTCCTCCTGCACACTGGGAAGATGTGGTCCCGGGGCCAGGAAACCACCCTTAGTAGCCTGGCGCTGCAGTGGCCTCATTTCCCCATCTTTAATCCAGGATCGGGGTGCATCCCAGCAGTCTCGCTAAGGGTTGGCTGAAATGTGCGTCCCCGAGCGCTCACCACCTCTCGTCTCATGATGCCTGACAGCAGCCCCATGGGGTGTAGTGTCTGCTCTTGGACCCAGTTTTGCATAGGAGGGGGTTGAGGCACAGAGGTTAGATAGATCATTTGCCTGGGGTCACAGGCAGAGGTGACACTTGACTCCCAGCTGCTCAGCTTCACAGTTCAGCTCCCAACCATTGCCCCATGTGACATGAGGCTGCCCAAGCTTGCAGGGGAGAATCAGTGAGCGGAAGAACCGGCCGCCCCTCGGCCGGGGCAAACCGGTGTGTCTGCTCCTAGAGCCCAGCCGCGTGCCCCCTTCCAGCGGCCGGGCCAGCTCCCTCCCTCCAGGCCGCTGGCTCTCGGGCCTCTCAGGACAGAGGTATCTGGGCGTCCGCCGCTACCAGCACGCCTCTATTTCTGTCCCCCACCCTTCCACCTGGCTGAGAAAACAGCCTTGGCGTAACCACACCTCTACGAGCTGACCCAGAGGAAGCAGCTTGTGCCCGAAGTGGAGCCCGGCAGCAGGCGGCAGACGGGGGCTCTGCAGCCTCCCGGACCCTTCGCAGAGGGAACCGGAGGCACCCAGAAAGGTCGAGGCTAGTTTTGGTGGGGGCTAGGGCCTTTCGGTCTCGCCCCAGTGACCCTGTGTACCCGTAGGCAAACCATGGCGTGAGGGAGTTCAGTGGCCTCAGCTGCAGGGGCAGCTCCCCCACATCCTGTCTGCAGCGCTGTGGGCCCTTGCTCCTCTGGAGTCTGTCTGAGTGCTGCTCCCCTTGTCTGCAGCCTGGGGCCGTCCCCCACTTGTAGGCTGCTATAACAGCCAAATGAAATAATTTAGTAAAAAAAAAAAAAAAAAAAAGCCTCAGGAGGCACCTGGCTGCTCGGTCAGTAGAACATGCGACTCTGGACCTCATGTCATGAATTCAAGCTTCACATTGGACATAGAGTTTAGTTCCCCAAAAACAGGGGGCAGGGAGGTGCCTGGGTGGCTCAGTCGATTAAGCATTAGACTCTTGGTTTCGGCTCAGGTCATGATCTCAGGGTCGAGGGATCGAGCCCCATGTCAGGCTCTGCCGTGAGTGTAGAGTCTGCTTGAGTTTCTCTCTCCCTTTCCCTCTGCCCCTCCCCTGCTTATGCACATTCTCTCTCTCACTCTTTCGCTCTAAGGTAAATAAATAAAATCTTTAAAAATCTCAGCCCAGTGATCTCCATTTTTGTCAGTGGCGACACTGGGATATGAGCCCCCTTTCTTGTCCTATCACCCGTTTCCTGTCACTCCATCTTGGCCCAGATTTGGGGACCCAACGCTGCCTTGTTCGGACCACTGCCGAAATCTCTGCCCAAAGTGGGTGTTGAATTTCTGGTGGCTTCTTGCTTTACTTGACTCAACAAAGTTTCACCCCTACACCCCCCTCCTTGTCGGAGTCTGTGTGCACACCATCCCCCTGTGTTATACCTGGGGAGCCCCTCCCCACCCGGGTGGGCTTTGTGAACCTCCCTCCTACCTGCCTGCTGTGTGGAGCTCGTGTGCCCACGCCCACTCTCAGGCTGTGAGAAGAACCTAAGACTGGAGAGGGACTCTGGCCTCTCTCCTAGCTGTGGTTCTGGAGTAACAGTAGCTAACTTTTTCTGCCGCCTGCGCTGTGTGCCGGGCACTAAGTCACGCAAAGCATCATCTCCCCTTGTCCTCTCCACTATCCCAGGAGGCAGGCGTCAGGATTGGTCCTCGCCTCCACCTAAGGAAACGGGGGCTTTGTGCATTTCCATGGCTTTGCCAGGTCTAGCAAGGGGCAGGGACAGGATCAGAGTCCAGCCTGTTGGCAACCAGAGCAGAGGGGCCACGGGGAGGCACCTGGGCTGCAGGTGGGTGCAGTATGGCTGATTTTTCCCTCTGTGCAGGTCACCATCGGGATGCTTCTGCTCTCCGGAGACCCCTGCTTTAAGACGTGAGTGTGGGCACAGGCTGGGGGGGTGCCACACAGGGACTCTTCCCTCCTCGGGGCTCTTGGCCTCCTCTGTCTTTGACCCCCGAACGTGGGGCACCCCAGTCACAGCCATCTATCCTCCCAAGGCCACCGTCCACCGCCAAGTCCATCTCCATCCCGGGTCAGGACTCCTCCCTGCAGCTGACGCGCAAGGGCGGTGGGACCAGCAGCAGTGGCAGTGGCACCCGGCCCCCCAAGACGAGGCCCACCATCCTCAACTCAGGTATCATTTTGCACCTGCCGTCTCTGTGCCTCCCCATGGCCCAAGGCTCATCTCCGTCTCCCCAGGTCCCAGGGGGTATGCTTACTGAGCACGGGTAGTGGGATGGTGTTTACGTCCATCCATGCTTCCATGAGGCCCACGTCTGAGCCCTTCCCATAGGCAGGGCACCATGCTGGGCCCCAGGATCACAGCAGCGCCCTTACCTTGAGACTCCATCTTGCAGGAGGGACAGGAGTCAGTCAAACAGTAAATAAGTCCGTGTCACCTGCAGGTGGGACAGGAGCGGTGACTGGCACTGAAGAGCTGGCACTTGAGCTGAGCCTGAGCTGTGGGGCAGGGTTCCCAGCAGGGGCATGGTGTCCCGCCATGCCTGGCTGTCTTGCCTGTCCGGTCTCAGCATCCACCACCCTCCCCCCGCCCCCCCTGCTGACTAGAGGGGCAGCAGCAGCCCCTGCAGCCTGGGCTGCTGTGGAGCTGAGCCGAGCACATGAGTGTGCCCTTGCCTGGCACACAGTTTGTACTCTGTATTCTCTGGGTATCTCCCAGCGCCGGGTTTCTACTAAACTGTCATCATTATGAACATTATAAAAAATGCAGAGGAGACAGCATGGCGATTAGGGGGAAGAGGTGGTCCAGGAGAAGGCTCCAGCCTCCCCCGCCACCCCCGTACTCCGTCCCTGGGGGTGGACTCAGAGCCGGGAGGCACAGTGCCCCCGAGCTGATGAGCGAGCTGGGTGGCACACGCCACCCTAATTTGCACCACGAGAGCAATTAGAGAGGACGCAGGGCCGCGGGCGAAGAGCTACCTTCCCAGGCAGTGTGGGGTTTGAGCCCCCATATGCCTCTGTGACTGGTTTTCTAGCCTTCTCCTCCTGCAACCCCTGCCCCACCCGTAGAGCACCTGTCTTGAGAAACCCTGTGCTTTGGGTGAGGACCCAGGCAGGCCTGGGGGCCAGCCTGTGGCCTGGTGTGTTCTTCTCTGAAGAGGGGGATGGATGAGATGAGTTCTTCCTGCCTATGACCAGAAGTGGTGGGCAGGCAGGCACTCCTGGGGCCCAGAGTGGACCACCCCAACACACACCAGGTCCCTTGCGCCTCCTGCTGGCGAGTGCTGGAAAGTTTGTTTTGAAGTTGGGCTTATGGGTGACTTGGGACAGGATTGTTGGCCATTCTCCATTCCCCTTATTCGTTCCACACTGACCTAAGCTCATTCAAGCCTCAGGGCCTTTGCTTCTGCTGTTCCTTGGTTTGGAAGGCCCCTTTCCTGATGCCTTCTGTGGCTTTTTCCCTCCCATGCTTCTAGGAGGCCTCCCATTAAGGCCACCTCCTAGAAATCTTCCCTGATCCCAGACTGGGTCAAAGTCCCATCCACACTGCTCTCTGCTGTGTACCACTCATTTCAGGCATGGTTAATTGTGGGTCATTTTTCATTCAACACTCTCCCTTCCCGCTGGCCTGTGACACCCCATCTCCTATTTACAGCACACTGTGCAGAGGACGTCCTCACAGATATTTGTGGAATGAACAGACCTGGGCTCCAGGGGTGGACTGTGGTGGGAGCAGGGCCTCTGTTTGTCTGTAAAACGGGAAGCACCTAGCGTGCCCCCCTCTGCCCGCCGCCGACTCCGTGAGAGGCCATGTGTGGACCGCCAGGGCTGGCCCCACTGCTGAGCCCGCCCTCTCCCCGCTCTCCAGGGGTGCCAGAGGAGCCCGAGCAGAACCTGTCCAGCCCGGAGGAGGTGTTCCACTCCGGCCACTCCCGCAACTCCAGCTACGCCAGCCAGCAGTCCAAAATCTCTGGTGAGTGCCCACCTGGCCCCATACCCCCGGCCTTCCACACGCCTTGCCGGCCCCCCACTAACAGGCCTCCCCACATGCCCGCCAGGCTACAGCACGGAACACTCGCGCTCCTCCAGCCTCTCGGACCTGACGCACCGCCGCAACACGTCCACCAGCAGCAGCACCTCTGGCGGCCTTGGCATGACCGTGGAGGGCCCCGAGGGCAGCGAGCGCGAGCACCGGCTCCCCGAGAAGCCCCCACGGCCGCCACGGCCCCATCTGTCCGATCGCTCATTCCGGTGAGCAGTGCTGCTCCGTGCTCCTGGAGAATGGGCTCCTCCTGGGCACCCCCGGAACCTTCACTTCTTCCCTGTAGCACGGGGACAACAGGGTCCCGCCTCAGAGGGTTGGATGGCGATGATTCAGCCGGTGGTTGGACGCGAAGGGCACAGCCTGGGCCTGACAGACGTGCTGTCGGGGGAGGCTTCGTGACCTAGGTCCCCCGTTTACCCGTGGCACGGCCTCTCAGAGGCTCAGGTCAGCTAACCTGTCCGGGCCTCCAAGTCCTCATCCACAAAACCAGGTTGTGGGCCCTTGACCTGGGGGCTGAGGAGAGGGTTCCAAGAGCACGACTGGGAATAGGTTCTCATGTACACGCAGAGCAGCCTGAGCTCTGTACGGGCTTACCATGGTCGTCCTTATACCTGTCGCCAGCTGGACTGCTGTGACTCTGCTCTGCCCCACCCCAGGAGGAAGAAGGACTCTGTGGAGAGCCACCCGACCTGGGTGGATGACACTCGGATTGACGCAGATGACATTGTGGAGAAGATCATGCAAAGCCAGGACTTCACGGACGGCAGCAACACCGAGGGTAAGCTGCCCACGCAGGGAGGCCTGGGGGACGGTGCCGCCCGCTCCAGGGCCGCCCCAGATGCCCCTGCCCCACTCAGCCTCCGTCCTCCCCTGTGTCCCCACAGACAGCAATCTCCGGCTGTTCGTCAGCCGCGACGGCTCCACCACGCTGAGCGGCATCCAGATGGCCAATAGGTAGGGGGCGCCGTTTGGGGATGGGTCCCTAGGGTGGCCATGGGGCTCGGTGCTGAGAGCCCAGGCATGGTGGACGCTGACCTGGCTTTGAATAGCTGCTCCTCCCAACACAGCATCACCTGGGAGCGCCCACTCCTCTCTGAACCTCAGTTTCCCTGCTTGTCAAATGTCACAGACCACACCGTCTCCTCTAGAAACCTGGGGCAGCAGCCTGGGGTTGGTTCTCAGGGTTCCAAGGGTAGCTTGGAAAGGGCCTAGCACAGGGCCTGGTACACCGCCTGGGCTTTATCTGTCTTTATTTGGGACCTGCTTATCCCTTCCTTCTGGATCTGGGAACTCCTAAACATGATGACGACAACAACTCATTTAATTTACTGAATAAATATTTGTTGAGCACCAGCCACACACCAAGCACCAAGCTAGGTGTGCTGGGGATACAGCAGTGAGCAGCCCAGATTCGTGCCTGCGTGATATTTACATATGAGGGTGTGGCGGCTGACTCTGCTGCTTCCGCTCGAGTCTGTGGCGTGTCCACTGCCTCACTGAGTGAGTGAGTAGAGGAGCTGTGCCGAAGCCGTAACCCCCTGTTCCCCTGGAGCGGCCAGGAAAGTGCTCATTTAACATCTAATGCTGGGAGCGTGGGGGGCTGGGGTGGTGGTGGTATGGAGACTTGGCTGGGTGGGTCTGGGGCACAGGGTCCCAACCTCCCCTCTGGTGCTGCTATGCTGACACCTGCTGGCCAAGGCTCAAAATTGCAGCCACCCTCTCCCTGTGACTTCCTGGGCTGTCCCCCGGGAGGTGGGCAAGAGGAAAACAGAGGACACCTCCTTGGAGGTTTACACCCCCCCCACCCCAGCCCCCTATGACAGTGAGGAAACAGATTCAGGGGATGGGAGAAACCAGTTTCATCAGGACCAAGGTCTTAGCAGAGCTGCACACTGATCCCTGAATGTCCATGACCCTGTGGGTGGGTCTGGCTTCAGCAGAAGGAAGAGCTCCCCAACCTTCTGTCCTCTTGGTGAGCTTCATCATCCCTCTGTTGCCTCAGTTTCTTCATCTGTCAAACGGGGCAGGGTTCAGTCTTTGCTTGCCAGGGTCGCCATGAGAATGGGTACAGCACCCATCTCTGGGTGAGCAGCCATTGGTGCTCAGAACGGGCTCAGGCACAGCTTGCATCAGCTCTGAGATCCCACAGGCTTTAGTACTTAGCATCTGTGTTGCCCTGGGCAAGTGACTCGACTTCTCTGAGCCTCAGTTTACCCCTCTGTGAAGCAGGGCCGACTTGTAAAGTCGTTCCCAGGGCCTGTCCCAGAAGAGCAACAGGGAGGACAATCTGACCTGGTTTTCTCCTCCCCTCCCCCACAGGGTCTCCTCTGGGGTCTATGAGCCTGTTGTGATTGAAAGCCATTGAGGAGCGGGTGTCCACGCCGGAGAAGGGCCCTGCCTCTGCGGGCATCCAAGCCCGCATCATTCCACGAGGGACCTTCCCCTTCGGATCGTCATCCGCACCGCATCTCATCTGTGCCTCCTCCATGCACTCCAGCCCCGCTCCTGCCCCAAAGCATCATTCCATTGTCCTCCCATCCATCCCGGGACCCTCCTGGCCTGCCAGGCCCCGGGCACCACTGTGAATATTCTCCTCTGAACCACTAGGGGGGCAGGATGTGCAGGTCCGTGAAGCAGGTGGACCAAACAGAGACGGCCAGGCCTGCCCCTCTGGAGACCGGTCTGGCCCCTCGTCGAGGACAAGCAACAGCACCTACGTGCAGGGATGCTTGTGGCCGAGGGGCCTCTTGCCCTGTGTCCCTGCTTACTCCGGGAGCATTGGCTTAGCCATGCCCCAGCAGGGCCTTGCTCCACTGCCCCCTCGCCCTTGGGAGGGCCAGTCCATCCCCATTTCCCGCCTCCACGGCCCTCTGACTGCTTAGTGCTTCCGCTCTTCCTTCCCGTGTCCCTGGGGACCTGCTGGCAGCCTTCTCCTGGGAACCGAGACCTCAGACCCGTCCGCACTCCAGATCGAGACCCCCGCCCCCAAAGAATGTTCTCCTGCTGCCCTGGCAGCCTGCACTTTGCACACGCTTGCCTCCAGCACAGCCCCACCGGCCCTTGTCTGCCTTTCCCTTGAGCCCTTCATAAGGGTTTCTGGGCACTGCCTGCTGTGCGGTCAGCGCCTGCCTCTAGCAGCCCGGCTGGAACGCGGCACTGCCTCTCCCCCGGTTAGCTCCAGCTCGGGCTTGACACCCATGCTGAGCATTGATGGTGGCTCTTTTCTGCTTGGGGCTGGATCCTGAGCAGCTGGTTTCCTAGGAAGCCAGGGAAGGTGCCTCCCAAATCCTTGGAGGCTGGCAGTCAGGCTGGGCTGGGCTTGGCAAGCAAAGCCCCTTCTCTGTCCCTGCAGGGTCAGCTAGCCCAGGCTGGGGCTGATGCTGGAGAGGCAGGTGGGCTGGGACTGGACCAGCCTGGAGCTGGCTTCCTGGCCGGAAAAGCCTCAGCCCTGCTCTGGAAGCATCCCTCTCTCCGGGCTGGGGAGAGGCGGGGAGCAGCCTGGCCCTGCCCCCGCCCCTCGCTTCTGCCGCGTCACCCGCCCCCTCTCTGGTGGGTTGTGACTGCCCATCAGTCCTGGACAGACCTCCCTGCCGCTCTGAAATTTCACTCATTTTGTGTGAACCCAGCAGGCTGGTGTTTACCTAGTCCTGTATCGTTTTTCTTTTTTTTTTTAATTTCCCCTTCTTTTCCTTTTTATTTTTATTTTTTTTAAATTTCACAGTTTGGTATTTTCTCCTCCCCCAGGTGAGGCGAGGGGGTTCTGTTCCCTTCCATACCTGCTGGCTGGGTCCCAGCAGGGCTGGGGACCTGGATGGGGGGCCTGAATCCTGGCTCTCTCCCTGGAAGGGGTGTGGGTGCCAGTGCGGTGTCCTCCCCAGGCTGGGAGGGCTCCTTGCCCTTATGCGCCAGCTGGCAAGAGTTGGAGCTGCTGTCTTGGAACCTCCTGGCCTTGGGAGCAGAGCATTTCTAGGTTTCTTTGTGGTTGTTTTTAATCCCCTAACTCTTAGAAAATGAATGTGCGGAGCTGCCTGCTGAGACAGGACAGAGCATTTGCTGTGGCTGGAGAAGGCTCTGCTTAGCCCTGCAGGTCCCTTCCTGCCTCGCAGGCATCCGGCACTTTAAAAGGGAGCTGGCCTTGCTGTTTCCAGATGAAGTGACCCCCAGAAGATGGGAGGGCACTCTCCTCCGCTTCTGTGTCTGCATGACTTCAGCCCAGTGGGGAAGAGCATTCGGGGTGTATTTGGGATCTGGCTCAAAGTTCTGGACTTCAGACATGAAGCCGTTAGCTCTGGTGCTGTTGGGGAGTCCCCCAAACCAGGAACCCCGGCCCCACCCAAGGCCTGGTCTGGGCCTGACAGTTCACCCCAGAAGGACAAAGAGCCTGCCACAGCCTCCCCTGCCAGGCCGTGGGCCAGGGTAACTGGACTGAGAATTTGGCCACATCCAAATTAACACTAGCTGGAGCCAGAGGCCTGGAGCCCCAGCCTCATCCCCATGTGGGAGCCCTCTCTTTGACCTCTGGGTCCCTTCAAGCTCAGTGAATTCCCGCCAGGCCCACATAGCTCCTGGACTTAAAATTCTATATAGAGAGAAAGATAGACTATATTAGAGGTATTTTTGGAAAGGAATCAGTCTATGCAATGCCAGTTTGGAATCTTCTTGAAAGACAGTTTAACGTTTTTACTAGGAGATTTAAAGAAAATTAAAGTCTACAATATTTTTAGGTTACTTTTTTTCTGGTCCCCCCAAATGGACCACACGGTGTGATCTGCCGGGATGGAGATCCACCATGTTCTCCTCTGTCTTGAGCTGGGAAATGGGTGGGGGTAGGGGGGTGAGGTGGGGTTTTTGTTTTTGTTTTTGTTTTTGGTCTTTAAAAAAAAAATTCCCCTCTTTTCTAACAGAATGTTGCCGCCACCACTACTCCTTATTCAGAGGGCTGTGTTTGTATCTCTGTCCCGGCTTCTGTTGTAGAAAATCACATTGTAAGGGGGAAATCAGCCTAGTGTCAATGTCTTGATTCGGGAGAAAAAATTAAATGTTGCAGTTTTTGTTTGTTACGGCGTGTTGGGTTTTGTTTGTCGTACCGCATGGTCAGCATCAGAAGAAAGCCGGATGCGTAGGTTGACATCCAGGAATGGGGAAGGATATAGGTGGCCAGGGTCCTCCCTGTCCTGGCTTCCGTCACAATCATTACCACCTTTATTACTGCAGGTTTCCAGGGAGGAAACTGAGACCCAGAAGGGCAATTTCTTGCCACCCTTGCACCTACTTACGTAGCAGCTTTGGTCTCACAGCACAAGTTCTAAGCACCGGAACTTTCCAGCAGTCAGCCTGAGATGAGTAACTGTCTCGGCCTCAGTTTCCTCAGCTGTAAATGGGCCTGTGGTTGAAAGAAGAAAGTGGGTGTACAGCCTGGCACAGGACATGCTGAGTTTGTTCCCAACTTTCAAGTCCCAGGCCACCACGGTCCCCAGGTCTAAGCCTCTCCCTTCCAGCCCCCAACACTCTCAAGTTATAGGGGAGCCAACAACTTTGCCAAGCTCAGAAAGGCAGAGTCAGCCTGGCCTTTAATTAGCTCAGAAGTGGCAGGAAGCCTCAGCGGCTGTGGACAGGCCAGAGGGGACCAGACCTCCAGGGCTCCTCCCTGCTGCAGCGTGGCATTGTCTGCACCCCTTCTCAGGGCGGACACCCACTCATGGCCCCTTTAAACTCTGGAGGCTGATTTTGAGTCTCTTCCTCTGTTCTGCACAGCACACCTGGGGAGGGGAAAGTTGGCTCCTAGCTGAGCCCAAAGTCTGTCGTGAGATGAGAGGGATGGCATTAAGCTGTAGGCCAAGAAGAATTGTTACTATTAGCTTTGAGGAGTGCAGTCCCCATAGAGACGGGTTCAGGTGACTCGGAGACATGCTGCCCTCAGGAGCAAACCATTCCTGGTTCTAATGCATCTCTGCAAGTGTGTCTGCCCTTCCTGCACTCCCCATGTGGGAACTAGGGATACAGCTGTGACCGCAGACCCTATACCCATGGACCTCACAGGCCAGATCAACAAGGAAATGAGCTAAGATGATGACAAGCGTTATCACAGAGACACTCTGGGGGCTGTGGAGGATAGACGAGGGAACCTCTGCCCAGCTGTGAGAGGCCTTCCTTAGGATGTGTGGCATCCCAGTGAGACCTGATGGGTGAAGAGCAGCCAGCCCCGCAAGCTGTGGGAAGACTGTTCCAGACTGGGGAGGTGACCTGCATGGGGGGCCCTTCGGATGATCTGTCTGTGTTGCTCGCTGAGCTGCAGCGACACCCAGGGCTCAAAAGACAGATGGTGAAGGAAGCGGGGCGGGGGGAGGGGGGGGGTTACCCTGACCTTATCCCTGCAGTGAAGAGAAGACACTGGAAGGGTTCCCTAGGAAGCCAGGCGATGGTGAGGGGAGCTCCCCTCACAGCCAGTGGGAGTCCTCCAAACCCTGAGGATCTGGGCCCACGCCCCCATCCCCACCCCAGGTGGGGCAACAAACACTCTGCATCCCTCTCAACAGACAAATTGGGGCCTCGGTATTAGAATGTATGGTCCCCGGGTTTCGATCTCGGCTTCACCACACTCGAATTGTGATCTGCAAGTCTTCACCTCTCTCGGAGCCTCATTTTCCCCATCTGAAACCTAGGACCTCTAACCTTCCACGCCATCTGGCTCTGCCTCCTGGGATATTTGGAGATGGACTTTTGCTTCTGGGGCGAGTCCGACAGGACTGACGCACGAGTGCCAGACAATCTGGGTCCCCATTCGATTCCATTCCCTAGGGAGAGTCGGGGAACAGCGTGACCCAAGATATCCTCGGAAACTACATTTCCCGGCATGCGAAGCGGGAGGCGGCACCCGCCTGTCTAGGGACACGTAATCCCGGCCCGCCTAAAGACTACGACTCCCGGCGTGCCCTGCGGCCCAGGGCCTGAAGGGCCCGGATCCGGATCTATCTGTGGCTTGCGGCTCGGGAGTGGGAACGCGGGAGAGATGGTGAGCTCTGGGCCGAGTGCTTGGGGGACGGGAGGGGAGCAGTCTGGGAGGGGGTCTTCCCGGGAGTCCGGGTAGGCACAGGGAGCCCGGATTGCTGTCTCGCGGGCGCACCGTACGAATGAAAACGCCGTGGCCCGCACTCCCCGAGCCTAGAAAGTGATACCGGGTCAGGCCTGTCTCCATCTGTTGAGTGAATGGGAAGCTAAGAGCGGAATCAGGCTGCGACGCCACCCGCCAGTAGTGCACCCGAATGGGGAGATCCTTCGTCCGTTGAGCCCTCCTTTCCTCCAGGCCACGGGAACAGACCAGGTGGTGGGACTCGGCCTCGTCGTCGTTAGCCTGATCATCTTCACCTACTACACGGCCTGGGTGATTCTCTTGGTATGTGCGCCCCGCCCCCCCAGGCCCCCGAGTCTGACTTTCGACCCCAGCATCATTTAAGCAGCTGCTATATACCAGACACTGTGCCAGGTGCTTTCCCTGCCCTCATCTCCCGAAATCCCCAGAACAGCACCACGAGGACGATGGCAGAGGTGTCCCAGCTTATACATGAGGAAGCTAAAGCTCAGGAAGAAAGGTCGGGTCCTTCATGCTACACCGTGAATTCCTGTTACTGATTCGCTTTTTCCTGTGCTTGGAGTTCTGGGCCTTCTGGCTTATCCTGCTGGCTCCCGGGCGTGATGAGTGCCCGGAGATCTTGTGAGGGCTTTTAGGATTTTTTTTTTTTTTTCCTTGTGGGAAACTTTGTTGGTGACTGCTTAAGAAGTGCAGTGTGTTTGGAGGGCAAAAACTTGCAGAACTTTGGAGGAAATGTTAGTAAAGAAGACCTTGGAGCCTACTTGAAGATTTCTCCTGCACCTTTGCCCCTGTAGGGCTGTGAGTGCCTTGGGGCAAGGCCCTCGTCTTCTGTTCATTGCCAGGTCCCCCGCACCACCTTAGGGCAGTCACCAGCAAGTGTACAGTGAACAACTATTCAGTGAGTGAATGAAGGAAACCAACCAGAACACCCCAGATACCATCATCTTAACCGACTGAGCCACCCAGGCACCCTAGATACCATCATCTTAAAGCAGGCGCTGTCCCAGTGCTTTGACGGGGGGTGGGGGGTGGTGGGGGGGAGGTTAGCACCTGAGATGGAGGAAGGGCCGTGTTTGGCCTTGAGGGGCTGGGCCAGGCACGGGGAACACTCACCAGAGCTCTGTCCTCCACACCAGCCATTCATCGATAGCCAGCATGTCATCCACAAGTACTTTCTGCCCCGAGCCTATGCTGTCACCATCCCCCTGGCCGTCGGCCTCCTGCTGCTCCTGTTTGTGGGTAAGTCATCTCTCCCTCCACCCCAGCAGGGTATCTGGGAATTCCCTCAGCCCTCTCCCATCCCTGAACATGCTGCCACACCGCAGCACTTGCAGTACACCTGCTTGAGACCCCTGGCCCCCAGCTTACCCGCCAGGGTTTTCCTGTTCATCCTTCCAGGCTGCCAGTCAGTAGCCCTTCTGGTCTTCCCCATGCCTCAGGCTCATTAGTTTCAAATGGGATGGCCCTCATGGAGTGTCTCCCTTTTCCCCGCTCCCTCCACCACCACCATCATCACTCTGCGCACGCCTCAGTCACCTTTCACCCCCTTGTCATCACTGGCTCGTGATTCCTGCCCCCTCTCTCTCTCCCAGCACTTATGTGTGGGCTTCTGTGGGGCGGGGACTGTGTCTTCGTCATTATTATTATGTTCTCAGCTCCTGGCCAGGCTGTGGCACTGAGTTGGTGCCCAAGAAAGTGGTTTGGATGAGTCACTTGGATGACCAGGGTGTGGGTTGGGCAGTGGATGTCGAGTAGGCAGGTGGGAGGGTGGACAGGTGGACAGGTAGATGGGTCATTGAGTGGGTCTTGTGCCCTGTAGCGTCTAAAACACTAAGTGTAGCCATTTGCCTGTGTGGGCCCCATGTTGGTGTTTCTTGAATACATGGGGGTGGGTGTGTGACTTGCTGACTGACCAGGGAGGTGATCGTGGCCTTGGAGGGTGGTTGGGCAGGTGCTTGGCTCCATGTGCACCTGCCCTGTCTGGCCTCCCAGCAGCCCCAAGCCCGGATCTTACTTGGCCTTTCTGGTCTTTGTATTCCAGGAATGTTCATCACCTACGTGATGCTGAAGAACCAGAAGGTGACCAAAAAGGCTCAGTGAAGGCCCAGCGGGGCCGAGGCTGCCAGCCCTTCTTATGCCTCCCCTCCAGAGGTGGGAGTGCATAGGACCTATGCAGGCACAGCAGCCCCCTCCAGCCTGGCCCCCATGGGGCGGAGCTCTTCTGGACCTACTACTCAGGCCTGCTCCTTCCCAGCCCAGCCTTCCAGAAGCCAGGAGGGAGGATTACCTGGAAGCTTCCCCCTTACCCTTTCTGGCTCAGGGCCTGAAAGATGCTGGTCATCCAAACTTCACTTTCACACTCCCTGTGGCCTTCTCCCCGGGGTTCTACCCTCTTGTTTCAGTTTCCCTCCTGTTACCTGCTGATGTCGGACTTGGTAGGTTCTGAGGTAGCACGTGACCTTTCCCCACAGGTCCCGCTCTTCCTCGGGGGTGGCTTTCCCAGGTCTGACATAGCCCCAGGCCCTACAAGGACTTTTGGACCTAGAATGCATAAGGGGAGGACTGACAGGCTCTGGGGTTACCACCAGCCCTCAGGGTCCATTAGGGTGGCCACAGTGGGCCCCCAGACCAGCTGCTTCTCATAGAGGCCTAGCCCCCCAGCCCTAGAGCCGGCCAGCTGGGGAGAGCTGAGCAATAAACACTGGTGATGTGTTTGTCTCTGTGCCATCCCTGCCCGGGGAGCTGGGCTGCTCGGGGCCCGAGAGGGGCTGTTCTCAGGTCAGGAGACTCTGGTTCGTGCCGTGAGGGTGCCTCAGGTGCCTCCCAGATTGTCCCCGTGCTGGACCCAGGATAAAGTGGGGACCGAAAGAGATGCGGCTCTGGCAGAGGCATGGCAACATGCCACACACCACAACGGCCTCTACTGTGCCTGCCCTGCGCCAGCCCAGCTAGCATGCAGCGCACTTTAGGGACCCTTGGGCCAGTCCCCAGAAAGCCCAAGTCCATTGTCTGTCTCTTGCACCCAGCAGTCCAACCTGGCATGGCTCTGAGCGGTGAGCTGGGGGAAGCAGAGCAGGGCTGGCTCTCTGCTCAGGCTGACTGATCTGGCGCAGGCCGAGCCCTGTCTCCCCAGCAGTCCCGCCATGCCCCCTGCCCCATGCAGCCAGGTCTCCCGTCCGCAGCACCCAGTTTAAGCCTCTGTCACGCCTTGTGTGATGTTCACTCTGGTTAGCAGAGACCTCTCCCTCACACCTGCCCTGCCCTGCCCTCACTTGTCCCATCCTCTTCCTGTCCTGCAGGCCAGACTGAGCTGCCGCCTGGGCTTTGGGTTCTGTCCTCTCCCCCTCCTATAGCAGGAGTATCCTGTCTCTGATGGTCCCCCGCTCTCACAGAGGCACCAGCCCCCTCCCTGTGTTTCCTGAGCATGCCCCAGGTCCCCACATAAAGGACCCTCCATCAACCCAGTAATTCCCTCTAGGTCTCTCCCCCTTGCCCCAAAATGGCCAAATTCCCAGAAGTATCCACACCCGCTGCCCGCAGCTCCTCACTGTTGCTGTGTTCAGCATCACTCCTGAGGGGCTGTACCCACCCGGACCACCCATCCCCCTGGTGCACCTCAGATGCTCTCCATGTCCATGAGGTCTCATTCTCATATGGGGGGTGGGGCTCCTTGGGACTTGATCACAAGCCTTCTCTCCCCACACTTGTCCTTAACCAGGCTCGCCTCCTGAGCCCCAACGTATTGCCCATGCACCAGTTAACTGCCATCGGGTGTCATAATGGCACCTCAAGTTCCTCCTGTCATGATCTGAATCCTCAGACTCCCCCTCCCCAGCTTCCCCTCCTACCCCCTTCCATGACTGGCACCATCCTGTGGCCCTAACCCCAGCCAGAAGCCTGGCACACACCACTGACCTTAGATTCCTCCTCCTAGCCCCCATCCACGTGATCCCAGGTCCTGTCAATTCTCCCCTTTTCTCCCCTCCTCCCACCAGTCACCTTCCTGATGCAAAGTCACCATCCTCTGCCCTAAGTCACCAAAAGATTCCTCGACAACCCCCCCCCGCCCCTCCAATGTGACTATACATGACAACCATGGCCTTTTAAGGACATTGGAGCATCTTTCTCATACACATAAGAGAACCTGAATGCTTGTTCACGTCTCACTGCAACTCGACCTTTCATTTCCTGGGATTCTCTGGGGCCCTTTGCACACCCTACTCAAATTGGTTCTGCGTATATATACATATGAAACACCAGTTTGTGCCAGACACTGAGCCAAGAAAGGAGCCCAGCACGGTTCCTGCCCTCCTGGTGCTCCCTAGGATGGGGGAAAATGTAATAAATAAATGAACAAGAGGATTTCTGACAGCGTTAAGTGTGATGAAGAAAAGAAAACAAGGTGATGTGATCAGGAATGCAGGTACATTGGGACGTCTGGGTGACTCAGTTAAGCATCTGCCTTCTGTTCAGGTCATGATCCCAAGACCCTGGGATGGAGCCCCTGAGCAGGCTCCCTGCTCAGTGGGAAGGCTGTTTCTCTCCCTCCACCACTACCCACCCCTCCATTTGTGCGCTCTCTCTCTCTCTCTCTCTCTCTGTCAAATAAAATCTTTAAATAAAAAAAGAACGAGGGGACACTGAGTCTGGCAAGGTGACAAGAAAGAATAGGTCAAAGGAGAGCCTAGGGGAAAGGCTTTCAAGCAATGGGAAGAGCGCCTGTAAAAGCCCCAGGTGTGAAAGAATTTTATGCCTAAGGACCAGCAGGGGAGCTCCTTGTGGCTATATGGTGGGTGTAGGCAGAGTGGTTTGAGATGGGCCTGGGGCCATAGTAAGGGGTATGGATTTTGTTCCAGGGCCTAGGGAAGCCACTGGAGGCTTTAAGCGTGAGAGTGACATCATCTGATTTATGCTTTTAAAAGATCACGCTGGCAGCTGTGTTCCTCCCTCTCACTCACTGCTGAATCCCCGGGGCCTAGAGCTGCTCCTGCCCATAGTGAGTGATCAAAATAGGCCTTGAATGAATGCACGCCCCAGACTTCCTGTGTGACCTGGAGGTACTCACTTCTCTCTCTGGACCTTAGTTTCCTCACCCGAGGGACAGTCGGTGGGAATTTCACGCCAGAGTGGGTGGGCAGGACTTGGATTTAGGTTTCCCGCCTCCCCAAGCGTCCCCGAGACCCGAGCCCTCCACTAGAGGAGACGGACGGGGGCGGGGGGTCATCCCTCTGGGGGACCCTAAGCGACGCGCGGCGGCCCCACCCCGGCCTGGACCGCGGTCTGAAGGATGCTGCAGCCCCGGGGGCGGGACCCGCAGGCGATCGCCGGCGCCTCCCGCGTGGATTGGGTGCATCCGTGACCGGCACCGTGCTATTGGTCGGTCCGGAAGCAGGGGCGGGGACTGGCTCCTGCAGCGCGGCGACCGGGACGCGGCCGGAGCCCGGGAAGCTGCTGCGGGGCGATGGCCGCACCGAGTCCGGGGCCCCACGAGGTAGGTGCGGACCCAAGAGAGGACAGAAAAGGGAAGGGTTGGGGGACAGGACCCAGGCCTCCGTTCCCCGTGCAGCACGGACACACCCCTATCCAAGCCCTGGAGGGGTCCAGCACTGGGCGGGGACCAGGACACGCCCCACACGGGGCCGCAGGTATGGAGGGGGAAGTCTGGCGGGTGTCCCCAGAGAACTTCCTCGGTTTTCTCATCGCGGGGGAAAAAGCTCCTCCTTCGTAGGGCTGTTAGCTAGTCAAGCTCTCGGCCAGTGCTGGGCACATGGTGGGTGCTCACTGCTAATGGGTCAGCGGCTGTGAGCTCAGCTTCGTGCTGACCCTCCGCTCAGCCGGGAGGAACTCCGCATAGATGAGTGGAAGAAATGTCCGAGTCCCTGGCGTCACAGCTCCTACTATCAAGGGTTCCTGTGCCTGGAGCAAATATCAAACTGCCACCACGAAGGAGTTACTAGAGTTGTCATTTCACAGATGAGAAAAGGAGATGCAGAAAGGTTAGGTGACTTACCTAAGATCATACAGCTGGTGAGAGACAGGTTTGGCTGCGGAAAGCATTCTCTACCTACTGATAATAATTATCTCCTGGGTGCTGATTGCACGCCAGGCACTGTGTGGCCCATCACAACACCCAGTGAGGTGGGGGTAGCAGCATTATCCCTGTTTGACAACAGAGGAAACTGAGGCAGAGAGCGATAATAGGAGGGCTCACAGGTACTGGGGGTGGGACTCAAACCTGGGTCTTTCCCCTCTGGGATGCTTCCATGTGCTCATTTCTCCTTGTGCCTCCTGCCACCAGGTCCTGGCCCCCTCCCCAGAGGCTGGATGCAGAGCAGCCACCTCGACTTCTGGCCGCCGTGGCCTCCTCTGGCGCCTCCGAGACAAGCAGGCTCGCCGAGGCCTGTTTGAGATTGGCCCAGGCCATGAGCTGCACCAGCTGACGTGCATGATGCAAGCAGGGCTGTGGGCTGCCACCCAGGTCTCCATGGACCACCCGCCCACCGTGAGTGGCCTGTGTCCCCCGCCTCCCCAGTACTGAGGGCAAGACCACTTGGGGGCCAGGTCCTGCCCATACTGCAGGGTCGGGGATCAGGGCTATACGAGGAGGAAATCAGGGGCTCAGTTCACGGGGAGAGGGACATGCTGGGGTGGGGGCTGAGACCAGGAAGCCCCAAAGTGCAGTCTGTACTGGGGATGTGAGGAACCCCTTGACCCAGGTGGTTGTTGTGTGACTCTAGATGGTCCTCTGCTTCTTGGGCCTCAGTGCCCCCATCTGTATAATGGGTGTGGGCTGGGTATTGTACTCCATGGTCTCTGATGCCCTCCTGGCTTTGCTAGGGTGCATGGCTGAGAAAGGACCCCACCCCCATCCTGCCAGCCTGGCCCATCCTCCCGGAGCTCAGGGCTGGGGCCAGGCTGGCTCAGCAGAAAAGGTCACCCAACTGCAGACTCAGCAGCTGGACAGGCCAGGGCAAGCATGTGTGTTTTTGTGTGTGTGCACACGTGTGCACAGTGTGTGCACACGTGTGTACAGCATGACCGCATCCCACAGGCCAAGTCCGGGCACAGGGAACTAGAGGTCCAAGAAGAGTGTAGGAGCCTGGGCGGGGGGAGGAAGGGGGACAGTCTTCTAAATTTCATCACCTGACTGACAATCTTCCATGGGTCCCCAGTACTCAGCACGGCCTCAGGATCCTGCTGGCTCGGGTCCAAGAGCCAACCGTCCAGCTGCATTCACACTCCCTCCATCCCTTAATTATTTCAACCACTTGAGCTCTCCTGCCCTTCCGGTGACCACCAATGCTGTTCCCCCTGCTGTGAACATCATGCTCCTCCTCTCCACCCCCTTTCAGATTTCAGCTTAGAGGTCACCTCTCCCGGGAAGCCTTCTCTGATCCTGCCCTTCTCACACTGAATCAGGCAGGTCCCTTGGCTTTAAGGCCATCCCCTTTCACTGGGATGGCTTTACTTGGCCAACAGGTACTTCTGGGTGAATGGACAAAGCTCTGAGTTCTGGTCTCTGTTTGCGGGAGCAATCACATCGAGGGAAGGGGGTGAGGCCAGGGCTAGGACTCTTGGAGATCCTGGAGCTGGCAGTGTGGGGCTAAGACTTGACCTGAGCCCCTCCCCCCCTCCCTGTAGGGACCGCCTACTGAGGAGGATTTCTCCGAGGTCCTGACCCAGGTCCACGAGGTAGGAAGCCCAAGACTGCGGCATGGGGAGGGGTGTGTACTGGTCTTCCTTCTCTGCCGTCCTCAGTTTCCCCATCCGTGCATGGGTGGGCTGGCTTGCCTCAGGTCTTTGCAGGAAAAGTGTGGTTACCCTGATCCTCCCACACCAGGGCCTACAGCACACACCTGGGCCCCCGTGGACACTGCTGGGGCTGCTCTTCCTCTCCTACAGGGCTTCGAGATGGGCACCCTGGCTGGCCCCGCCTTCGCCTGGCTGCGCCAATCCCTAGGCCTGGCCGAGGAGGACTATCAGGCAGCCCTAGGCCCCGGAGGCCCCTACCTGCAGTTCCTCAGCACCTCCAAGAGCAAGGCCAGCTTCTTCCTGTCGTGAGCTGGCAGCAGGGGTGGGGAAGGGGTGGGAGTGGTGTCCCTGGGTGGAGGGAACGGGAATGGGTGGAAAAGAAACGGAATGGCCAGGTCAGGGACGGTCAGGCCCAGATAGAGGTCAGGTGGAGGAGAGTGAGGCCGGGAGGTGACCCGGGCGAGGTGAGGGCCGGCGGGAAAGCCTCCAGCCCAGACAGGGGGAGATAGATCCTCACTCGGGCAGAGGGCCCAACGGAGCCGGTCCAGCCCTGCCTGACCAGTGACCTCTTTCTCCACCCCCCAGCCACGACCAGCGCTTCTTCCTGAAGACCCAGCGGCGTCGGGAGGTTCGGGCGCTGCTCGCCCACCTGCCCCGCTACGTGCAGCATCTGCAGAGGCACCCACACTCGCTCCTTGCCCGGTTGCTGGGTACGACTGGCGGGGGACCGGGGACTGAGGGACGGAGGAAGTGGGGCGGGGGGAAGCGCAGAAGACTGAGAGCGAGCTGGGGAGGGGGCCAAGGAGTGGGGCGGCTCCCAGGATGGGGGACGTTGGGGACCTGAGCCGGAGCCTGGGCGGGCGGGTCCGGCGGCTGGTCGCGTGGGTCCGGCTGCAGGCAGAGTTCCATGGGGGGGCGTGTCCTAGACGCGGGTGGAGAGGAAAGGAGGGCTCGGTGGGCGTGGGCCGAGCCCTGGGGCGGGGCCTTCCGAAGGGGGCGGGGTTGGATCGCCCAGTCCGGCGGCGGGAGGGCGTACGGGTGGGGTCGTGCCTGAGGACTGCGCCTCTCTGGGGCTGCCTAGAGCCCGGGGCCAGTCGGGACATCCACCCAAGCTAGGGCAGAGGTCCGGGGGCGCGGCCTGGAGGGGAGGGCTGGGGAGACGCGGGACCTCGAGGAGGAGGCGTGGCCTGGAGCTGGGCCTAGGGCGGGATGGACCAAGGGTTGTCGAGTTGGGGGCCCCTCACCTGGCGCCCTCTCCCCTTCCAGGAGTGCACAGTCTGCGGGTGGCTCGGGGAAAGAAGGTGGGTGAGGCCGAGGCGAGGGGGCTGGGCCAGAGGGGGCGGCTGGCGGGTGAGATCCTCTCGCCCCTCACTCCCTACCCCCATCCCCAGGAATTCTTCATCATCATGCTGAGTGTCTTCTACCCCGCCGGCCGCATCTCCGAGAGGCGAGTCCCCTCACAGGGCCCCGGCTCCACGCGGGGTGTGCCACCTGAAGCACCCATTCTCACTAGCCGATGAGAAGCTGGGGCCCAGGGAGAAGATGGGAGGCACATCCCCTAGATCTCCCAGGGGATCGGAGACGGGGATAGGCATGACCAGCGTCCCTTGAGCACTTGGGGAGTCTGCATACATTGCCTACTTTATTCCCAGAGCAACTCTGAGGGGCAGGGGTGGTTATCGTCCCCGTTTTGTAGATGAGAAGCTGAGGAGGGGGAGGGCCACACCACTACTATGTGAGGAGCAGAGATTCAAACCCTCTGCCTCTGCCCGCCGAGGACTTCCCACAAGCCCTTCTGGGGCTGCAGTCTAGGCTTGGACCCCCTGTTGGGGACACTTCCAGGGATGACAAGGTGCAGAGAGACAGGCACAGGTGGGGATAAAGCCTGGACTGGGCTTCCAAAATCCCGAGTTCAAATCCCAGCTCTGCCCTATACTTACTGTGTGGTCTTGGGCAAGTCAAAGAAGCTCTCTGAGCCTTTTTCTTCATCTCTGACACGGGACAATAATGGAATGGCTTGTGATGAGGGTTCAAACATCCACCCAGCAGAAGCTCTTGTTTCTTGGTTCCCCCTCTGTGTCAGTCTGTCTAATGCTGAATTGTTGCCCCCTTTCTGTCACCCCCCACTCACAGGTATGACATAAAGGGCTGTGAGGTGAGCCGATGGGTGGAGCCAGCCCCCGAGGGTAGCCCCCTTGTCCTGGTGCTGAAGGACCTCAACTTTCAAGGCAAGACCATCGACCTGGGTGAGCCATGGAGACAGTCTGTGCCTGCTTTTCCTCCATTCAGGGTCAAGTGAGAAGGGTGTCCCTGGCCCTGCCCTCTGCCTGAACCATTTAGAGCTGGGATTCTAGAGTCAGGCAGAGCAGGGTTCAAATCCTGCCTCCAAGCTGTATGAGCTAGGCAACTAGGGCAAATCGAGGAGGGGTTTCCTCATCTGTGAAATAGGACCGTTAATGACACCTGCCCTCTTGGGTCAGAGATGTGTGGAGCCCTCAGCACCTTGCCTGACACACGAGGAGCACTCAGGTGGGGGCACTGATGCTCCGGCAGGGCCCCAGCGGAGCTGGCTCCTCCACCAGATGGAACTGGACACCGCCTTCCTCCGGGAGCTCAACGTGCTCGATTATAGCCTCCTGATGGCCTTCCAGCGTCTCCACGAGGATGAGAGGGGCCCTGGCAGCAGCCTCCTCTTCCGCACGGTCAGGTGGGCCCCCCCTGCAGGGGCGAGGGCAAGAATGAGGTGATGAGAGCAGGAGAGAGATGGGTGATGGGGTGGGGGGGGGACAGCACAAAGTCTCAGAGACTGGAAAGTGCATGCGTGTGTGTGAGTGCGTGTGTGTGGAGAGGGAAGAGTAGAGGGCTGGAGAAGCCTGGTTGGCAAGGTTGGTGGGCATGTGTGGACTGCACAGGACTGAGCCGGGGAGATCCAGCTGGACAAGGGCTTCAGTGTTGGTGTAAAGAATCTGCCCATTTTCCTGAAGGGGATGTGGAGCCACTGAGGGTTTCACAGCAGTTTTCAGACCTATTTAATTTCTACTTTAGAAAGAGCTCTTGCCCTTTATTAATAAAATGAAAGGTTTTATTTATTTATTTGAGAGAGAAAGAGCACAAGCAGGGGGAGGGGCTGGGGGAGGGGGAGAAACAGACCCACTGCTGAGCGTGGGGCTCTGTCTCAGGACCCTGAGATCATGACCTGAACTGCAGTCAGATGCTTAACCGGCTGAGTCACCCAACAAAGCCCTTGACCTTTAAACCAGTCTTTCCACTTAGCACCACCATCGTGTTGTCCCCTGCTTTGTAGTATCTGTTGCTCTTTGCATGCTGATCATGAACCTCATTAAGGTGGGCTAATTCCCATTTTAGAGATGTGAAAACTGAGGCTCAGAGAGGGTAAGTGAGGTGGCAGAATGGCTTCTGAGGATTCATGTTAGTATTTGGTTAGTTACTTGGATTTCCATCCTCCAAGGCTGAACAGAATAAAGTAGGGGTTAAGGAAGGCACATTAAGGAAAGAATTCCAACCATCTGGTGGGTGGAAAAGTGAAAAGTGACATCCTCTCATCCAGCCCCCCAACCCACCCTTTGGAGATGGGTGAGGTGTGGGCAGAATCCAGGTTATCAGCTCACCACATGTTGGCTGGACACATCCTGACCAGAGGGTGGAATTCCTGCCTTGGGTCACAGACACGCTCGCCTCCCCGCTGCCCCCCAAGGTCTGACTATCCAAGCTAGGTCCGCTCCTCTCTTGCTCCCTCTATCCCCCGCTGATGCCTAGATTTCCGTCGTCTTTCAGCCAGTAAACCCCAGGTCGCTTATAATGGCTGTTGTCATATTGAAATATGCTGGCTGGTAAGTGGCCACTGCTCCAGCCCCACGCCTACCAGTTCCCAGCCCCTCTTTCAGGATAAGCTTTCGCCTCCCCCATCCCACCCCCATCCCCAACGCCGCACAGCAAAGAGCATCCGTGTTTTGCCCAGGCACCCAGACCACTGGGTTTTGATTGGTCGATGTCTGGGCAGGGCTTGTCTCTCATTGGCTTATTTGTCTCAGCGACACTTCCCCAACGCCCCTCCACTTCCCAGAGGACAAAATTAGGGAATTGAACCTGCTTCTGGCTGGGACTGGGGCCCAGCCAAAGGCGGCTTCCAATTTGGGATACATTTAGAAGGCAAACCGCCCCCCCCCCCGCCCGCACACACACCATCTATAAACTGGGGCTGGACCTTGTTCACACAGTTTCAGCTCTGCCGCCCTGAAACCTCCAGGGTTGGACGACCCCAAACAGAAGTTTAGGAAACACCCCAATACCAGACTTAGCCAAAGTCATGTGGTAGGTAAGTGAGGAGCCAGTGTCTGTGTGACCCAAAAGTCCTAGAGCGCCACCACCCAACAGAAATGCAATGCGAGGGCCGGGGTGGGGGGCTTAGTCGGTTAGGTGGCTGCCTTTTGCTGCGATAGTGATCTTGGCATCCTGAGATGGAGCCCTGCGGGGGGCCGGGGGCGGGCTCCCTGCTCAGTGGGGCGTCTGCTTCTCCTCCCCCTCTGTGCGCTCTTGCTCTCAAATAAATACATTTTGAAAAGAAAGAAATGTAATGTGAGTCACACATGTGGTTTTAAATTTTCTTTAGAAATTTAGCCTCTTTAGAAAAGTAAACAGAAACAGGTAAAGATAATTTAAAAAATATATTTGTTATTCAACACACCCCCAATTTTTATCATTTCGTCATCAAATCAATATAAACCTTTATGAGGTGTTTTACACTCTTTTTCTCATCCTGTCTTGGGAATTCAGCATGTATTTCACACTTAACAGCGCACCTCAGTTGGGACTGGCCACATTTAAAGTCTTCGTGGCCGCATGTGGCTAGTGGCTACGGAATAAACAGCTCTAGTCCATCGTCTACACTTTACTCAGCCTCCCAGTTTATCTGACGTCACAGGCCTGGCACCCAGGAGTTGTGGGAATGAACGGAGGAAGAACAGGGTCAGCACAGAATGATGCCTGGGCGCCCCGTGGCTGCGCTTGCGGGAATCCCTGGGCTGGGGCCCCCTGGAGGAGGCAGTAGCCTCACCCTCCTGTCGGCCGCCAGGTCTGTGCGTGGAGTACAGAGCCCGGAGGAGCCGGGATCCCAGAACCGCCGGCTGCTGCCTGACTCCCCCAACGCCTTACACATCCTGGACGGGCCGGAGCAACGCTATTTCCTGGGCCTCGTGGATCTCGCCACGGTCTATGGGCTCCGCAAGAGGCTGGAGCACCTATGGAAGACGCTGCGCTACCCGGGCCGGACCTTCTCTACCGTCAGCCCCGCTCGCTACGCCCGTCGCCTCTGCCAGTGGGTGGAGGCACATACCGAGTGACCCGCGCTCGCGGCGCTCGGCATCTGGACAATGGGCGCATGCCGGGAACCAGCGTTGGGCTCCCCTCGCCTGCCGTTCCGCCTTTGGCCTCCAGAGGGCAGCATCCCCTAACTAATACCATGACAACACAGCCTCATTTGGGGCAATGCCGTGTTGGCCTTGTGCCAGGGACTCTCCTACGTTAGCTCATTTAACCCTCAAAAAAAAAAAAAAAAAAAAAAAAAAAGCTATTATTCTCTTTTTACAGACCATGAAATGGAGGCTCAGGGGGTGAAGGGACTGAGCAAGATCATTCAGCAATAAATGCTGGAACCAGGACTCGACTCTGCCTTTTGGACTCAGGAGCCTGTATTCTTACCCACCAGCTCCCTCAGCCCTGGCCTCGTGCTTTGGGGAAGGGGGGAAGGCTGAAGGCTCCAGCCAAGCGCCTTTGTCGTCCAGATGGGGAAACTGAGGCCCAGAGACTTTAAGGGGCTTGCTATTGGGTAAGTGGAAAGACCTGCCCAAGCACCCAGCCCTCCTACTGCCCACTGGTCTCCCTTTGGGGTGGTCCCCCTCGCTCCTGCACAAGGGATGCAGGTGGGAGAAGGGGGAGGATTGAGGGTCCGGCATCTCTAGAAGACACTGTGTTGAGGCCGACCATTGAACTTGAGTCAGCTCTTCCCTATACTGGGAGTCATTTTTCTCATCTGTGAAATGGGAGTAGGGGTCAGACTAAAGGTATGGCAGCATGGAAATTATCAGGAGCAAAGAAACTCAGTACGTGCATGGCCTCTGATCATTCCTTCTCCTTCCTCCAGGAAACTCCAGTCTGGCCTCTGACCCTGGTCCAATCCTACCATACCCAAGTAGGCCTTTACTCTAGAGCTGCTCTGGGGCCTGAGTGTCTGTGACCAGGGCAAGGTGCTAAACCTCTCTGTGCCTCAGTGGTCTAATCTGTACAATCGGAAGGATGAAAATGACTTCATTAACTCATTAAATATTTATTGAGCTCCTATCATGTGACAGGCCCTCTCCTGGGTGATGGGGACCCAGGGGTGGGACAAGATTTGCAGATTCCACCTTCACAGATCCTGGGGAGAGAGAGCGACAGAAGCAGCCTGATGTGACCCAGCCTCATGAAGGAGCCTGGGGGCACAATGCTGAGGGAAGGGGCCTCCCCCTAATAATTGGATGGAGGTGGGGCTCTACCTTCTTGACTGAGACCAGAAGAGTCAGATGCAGACCTGGGAGGGTCTGCCATGGCAAACCATGGCAAAGGTCTGGGGTGACAGAGAGCCTGATGCTTGAGAGAAAGAAACATTTCACTGTGGCCGGAGTTCGGAGTAGGAGGGACAATGTGGGGGGTTGGGGGGGATGTTGTACATCAAAAGCTGACCCCTAGGACTGGAACCGGATCTTGGGAGAGCCATTCAGCTAATACCAAACATTGCCAGTCCATTAGCCTTCAGAGAAAATGAGGCAAAATGGAGGGCGGGGAGGGAGCGGGCAGGGAAAGTTAATGCTGCACGGGCGTGTGGGCTCCTGGAATATGTGTACAATTGACCTCAACCCTAGTGGTCTGGGTGACCTTGGGTGATTATTCAAGCTCTCCCAACTGGCCCAAGTCACAGAGAATTTCTTGTTTTGGCTCAGCAGGAAGTTGACACATAGTGGCCATCAGTTAGGAGGTGAGTGCGTTGAGGAAGCTTGGTAGCGGTAGAGCTGCACGGCAGGAAACGGGGTTTGGCGATACGTGGGCCCAGGGTCTGGACCTGGCAGGACTGAGTCAGAGACTGAGAGTCCTGCACTCACAGATAAGGATGGTTCAGCCCCTCACCTACCTGGGGTCTCTGGCAAGGGGCTGAGCCAGAGCTTGAGGCTGGAGGGGAATGTGACTTATCCAAGGTCTCATGGGGGCCCAGGATTCCTGGTTCTCCTCACTTGGTCATTCAAAAGACATTATCTAGCCTCTAGTGTGTGCTGGGTGTTGAGCAGCTGCTGGAAATGCCTGAGACCATGACTGGCCTGACTCTGTTCCATGTAGCTGAGAGTCTAGTGGGTGTGTGGACCAGTTAGTACACAGGATGATTTCAGACTGTGACCGGTACTATGAAAAAGACCAATAAGGGGAGACCTAGAGGGATGGGCATGTAGTGTTACATAGAGTACTTGGCATGGGCCTTTCTGAAGAGGTGACATTTGAGCTGAATGACAGGAAGGAGCTGGCTATGTGAGTAGAGCAAACAGCAAGTGCAAAGGTCCTGAGGTAGGGATGAGCTCAGTGTGATTGGGATCAGAAGCATGCCCGGGGTAGGTAGAAGGTGGTTAAAAAGACAGAAGTTCCCACCTTGTACGTCAGGGTGAAGAGAATGGTCTTTTGCCAAAACCAAACTGAAGAGCTTTATCTGAGCCTGTGGAACTTCCCACTGGCAGTTCTACTGTGGATGTGTGATCCTTGTCTGCTCTGCAAGTCTAGGACATTTGGGCATGTCCTTGTGACATGTGACATGTCACATGTCCATGTGACCCTAACAAGGAGAGAGTTACTTCTTTAGGGAAAGAATGGTCACTTCACCAGCCATTGTGGGTGATGAATGAATCCTTAGGGAATGTCTCACCATTGTCCCCTTAGGGTTGGGGCTACAAGGAGAGACACTTGAAGGATGATGACTTGGGAGGGGATGCAGGAGGACTCTGGCTTTGGGGACCCACTGTGCACCTGGCCTTGAGTGAATAGGAGACTACAGAGAGAGATTGAACTTGGGCCACTACCTTCTAGCTGTTCCCAGGCTGCAAGAGATGGACAAGGTGGGCCTGTACTCAAAGAAAGCTCAAGAGCAGGGCTGCCATAGAGTGTCACCTTCCCCCCATAGGACAGGGAGAGGCATGGCAGACTTGGCTTTGCACTGGAGCAGAATAGGTAGCCTTGGGAAGTTGCTTATCTGGGTGCAGATACCCAAACACAGGTACCTTGGCATTGTGCCCACACTAGAGGCTCTGAGAAAAAGACAAATGGAGTTTGAACAGGGGTCGGAGCAGAAACCTAGCCTGGATCCCAGGGGAAGGTCCTGCAGAGGAGGGTGTGATGGAGGTGGTAGGATGAGCTTTCTGGCCCAAAGAGCATTTTATAAAAAACACTTTAGATGAGAAGCATGCCCTCCAATTCTCCGCAGGCGCACTCCTCCCTATGGCCCTATATATGTTCTTTCAACCCTTTCCAGCCCCTGAAAGGTACTTGAGTTTGAACTTCCCAGGGTACCCCGTCTGAGCCTTCAAATGGGATACATTTCAGCATCTGCAGGGGTGCAAGACTGAGTTGGTTGGGGTTTGGAGGACACTTTGGGAAGGGGGAGGCGAAGAGGTGAAAGTACGTGGCAGTGAGATAGCTCAGAGTTGGAATTTTTTTTTTTTTTAAGATTTTATTTATTTATTTGACAGAGATTACAAGTAGGCAGGGAGGCAGGCGGGGGAGGGGGGAAGGGCAGAAGCAGGCTTCCTGCTGAGCAAGGAGCCTGATGTGGGACTCCATCCCAGGACCCTGGGATCATGACCTGAGCCGAAGGCAGCGGCTTAACCGACGGAGCCACCCAGGTGCCCCTCAGGCTTGGAATCTTAACTGTGCCACAGCTTCCCTGCTCTACCTCACTGGCAGGAGCTGTTTTAATCCTCACTTCACAGAGGAGAAAAACTGATGCTCAGGTGGCTAGGGTCGCCAGAGAAAATAAAGAATGCCCAGTTACACTGGAATGTCAGATTTTAAATATAATTATGCATTGTTTATCTGAAATTCCAGTATAACTGAGCGTCCCGTATTTTACCGGCTAAATCTGGGAATCTTACAAGCTTGAAACCCAGGTCAGCCTGACCCCAAGGCCCTGCTTAATTTTCCCACCCATCTTCCAGTTTCACAAATGGAGAAATTCGAGTCCGGACGGCTGGGTAGCCACCGCGCGCCAGTTCCCACACTCCCTAGGTCTTTCCTCTGCGCGCCGCCCACCCGACCCCCGAGAGCAGCTCCGGAGAAACGTGGGAGGGCGGTAAAAGGTGGGGAGAAGCGCACCCTCGGACTCCGCCCCCGGCCCCCCGGCCCCGCCCCTATCCGGAGGCCCAGCCGCCAGCCACGCACTTCCCTAACCCGCAGCGGAGGCGGTGCTCGTAGGTCCCGCCCCCGTCTCCCGGGACCCGCCCCCAGCGCTCCAGTCTCCTCCCCGTCCTCGCAGACCCCGCCTCCGCTGCCGGCGGCTCACGTTCGGTTTCCATCCTCCAGAAGCCGAGGCCGCGGTGCCGCCTCCGCCCCAGGGCTCCGGCTTCCCGCCCGGACCGCCCGGTTTGCGGGCCATGGAGCTCCGAGCAGCGGATCGAGAGCAGCCGGAGCGCCCCAGCCCGTCTGCCTGGTTAGCGCCTGGCCGGGGGAGGGGGCCTTGGAATCTGGGTGGAAATATCCCGCCCCAGGCCTCTCCGTCCATCCCTCTGGTAGTGAGGTAGGAGGGATGGGGCGGCAGTCGGGGCTCCTGGCTCCCGGTTCTAACTGACCCGGACTCGACGAGTGACCTTGAGCCGAGGGCTCCCCCTCCCTGCCTCTCCTTCCCCATCTGCACAATGGGGATTGGGTTGGTGGGATGTTGGTGGGACCCGAAGGTCACCCACTCTATACCAGCTCCTTTACGATGCGGACCGCGCTGTCCGGTGTTTGGGGGCTTTAAGGAGTTTGATTCCTGGGAGTCATCTGCCTTGACGCTGGCCCGTGCCCTCCGCTGCCTCAGTTTCCCTGCGGCCTTTCCTCAGAAGCCCAGGACCCAGCTCTGAGTTTCTGGATCTTGGCAGGTGCCTGGCCCCCGTCCCTTCCCAGCGCAAGCCCTGGAGACGGCAGCCCCCTGACTGCTGAGCATCGGCCGCAGCATGAAGGCCCCGGTAAGTGGTGTAAGGAGGAAGGCTCTTGGGGAACTTCCGGCACAGCAGCCTCCTAACCTCTCCCACCCCAGAACTGACTCACTTCTGACCCACTGCTCCTGAGCTGAGAAGGGCAGACGGGTCTCAAAGCCCTGCTGATCTGGTCTGGCAGGCAGTGAGGCTTCAGGCAAGTGGTGTTCCCTCTCTGGTTTCAGGGCCTTGCCGGTCTCCCCTGTGACATGGAGATAATAGTACTATCTCCTTTAAGCGTTCTGGAGGGCAGCTTCCCAGGAGAGGCAGCAACCTGGGAGGGGGATAGCTGCTCTTGACTTTATTCAGGAACCCCTTGTTGAGGAAGAGGGCCCTGGATGTTGGGGGGAGTCCGCCACGACTGCCTGAACTGGGGTGTCTGGGTCCCTTGAGGGCAAGAGGACCAGGTGCCAGGCAGAGCCTGAGGCCTCAGGGGCTGAACCCCCTCCCCCGCACAGCTGGCCACAGAGAGATTTATTTTTAGAAGCTGATGTGGCTTGGGGGTAGAAAAGGGTGGGCCTCTGGTAGGATGTGCCTGGGCGGGGCCCCTGGGGGATGCTTTCCCCCCCTCTCATTTTCAGAGCACCAACAGCTGCTGGGTGGATTCTGGGGAGGAGACCTGTGCCTTGGGCAGGCTGGGAGAATTTTAGAGCCCAGAGAGACACAGATGGTGATCAGGGTGGCCCAGCACATGAGGGCAGTCCCAGGTCATGCCCTCTTTCCTAAGGCCCCTCCTTGAAGGCTGGGTCACTGAGTCTGCCAGCAGGGCCAACAGGCCCAGAGGGCTTCCTGGTTCAGATGGCCTCTGGCACATGATTTTTGGAGGTGGGAGCCTCCTTTGTGGCCCAGCTTTCAATTATTGAAACCATTCTTTGAGTGACACTTCCCTCACTTCCTGGGCCGCTGACCCAGATTGAGATCATCAGCTAGGGGGCCGGTCGGTCACTGAGCAGCTGATGGAGGGGGCAGGGGATGGGCACACAGGCAGCCTGGGTCCTGGGTCTGAAGGAGGACAGTTGCCCTTTTGAGGGACCGCTCTCCTGTCTTGGGGACCACTTTACGGTACCCAGAGCATTTTTACCACAGTCCTTACTGGACATACTGCAAGTGTCATGGGCCCCAGAGTTTCAGAAGCAGAAACAGGCCCAGAGGAGTGGAGAGTTGTACCCAAGGCTGCCCAGCACACCGAGGCTTCCGGTTACAAGCATGGGCTCTGCAGCCTGGATTTAAGGCCGCGTCCTGTTGCTGTCTTGCTGTGTGGCCTTGAGTACCCCGGATTCCTTATCTAGAATATGGGGATAATAAGAGGTCTTGTCTCCACAGCCTGAGCCTGGCAGCCCAGAGGAAGCCCTGGTTAATGGAGACTGTGGGCTGTGCTAATGTTCTGGAAGCTACTGAGCTGGGGTTTGGACCCATGAGGCTGGGGTGCAGCCCCAGCCCAGCAGAGGCTTCCAGGAGCCCCAGAGACCCCTGCTCACACCCCATGACCACTGTCTTCCCCAGGGCCGGCTCCTGCTTGTCATTCTGTGCTCCTTGGGCTTCTCTGCTGCCTACGTCCTGCTATGCTGCTGGGCCTGCCTGCCCTTCTGCCTGGCCTCCTGCCTGGCCCCACAGCCCTCCACCAACTCCAGGCCCACTGTGCCGGGGCCCCTACACTTCAGCGGATACAGCAGCGTGCCAGATGGGAAGGTGAGCTGGGCGGGCACCGTGTGGTGACAGGGTTGGCCCCGGCTGCCAGGGTGCTCCCAAGTGTCTGGGTATGAGAACCAGGCTTATGCCAGGCCAGCCCGGACCCCAGGCTTGGCTCCTGGGCTCACCACCTGTGTGACATTCAGCAGCCAGTTCTCCTCTGTGAGCCCCAAGGTCTAAGAGGAAATGGTTTTTTTGGGTTTGTTTTTGTTTTAAATTCAACATATATTACCTGGCTGCTCTCAGCTGGGTGATGGAGATTAAAAAAAAAAAAAAATGGTGAGCCAGTGGCCGGCCACCAGGAGCTCTTAGTCTCGGTGGGGGAGACACATGCTATCCCATCATGGTGATCTGTGAGTTGTTTTGTGTATCTTTAGAGTTAACTGTGCATACACACAAGCCATTCACAGAGCAGGTATGTGTTTGGCTGTGCCCTGCCTTGTGCTGATGGCTGCTGCTGGGACAGAGATGGCAGAGAAAAGTCATGTCAACTCCAGAGCTCTCCCAGTCATGGGGAGACAGGGATACTGGTTCTCGGGGTGATGACCCACCTTCCCATGCTTGCTCTGCCAGGCATGGTTTGGAGTACTTTTACCCCCTCGCCCTGATTTCAGTGGCCCCCCCTTCCCATGGTAACATTCGCAAAGGCGTCCCACACTGATACCAACACGGAAAGCTCCCGGTTCTGAGTCTGATGGCTCTCTGAGAGCACATCAGAGGGAGGCATGTTCAGGGACCCTGGCTTGGAGGAGACATATTTGGGGTCTTAATTTCTCTGAGCCTTGGTTGCCTCCTCATCAGTAAGAGAACATCTCGTAGTTCTACCTCTACAGACTTGCCATGCAGATTCAATTGTGGGGTCCACGGACTGTGTTTGCAACAGGTGCTGGGTAAATATTTGATCAAGAGACAAAACCACTGGGGGTTTGGCCAGATGGGACCAGTGGTGGCGTGGGCCAGAGGGGTGCTGTCCCATCTTCCACAGGGAGGTGGGGGGCAATGAATATTTTAGACACTCCATAGCTCATGGGGATGTGGGTTCAGAGTAGCCAGATCCTCTGGGTTTCTTTTATTTATTTATTTACTTATTTAAAGATTAGAGAGACCACACAAGCAGGGAGATGGGCAGAAAGAGAGGGAGAAGCAGGCTCCCCGCTGGGCAGAGAGCTGGATATGGGACTCCATCCCAGAACGCTGGATCATGACCTGAGCTGAAGACAGACACTTAACCCACTGAGCCATCCAGGTGTCCCTCCTCTGGGTTTCTTAAGAGAAGCCAGAAATCTGAGTTTGGGGTATCAAAAATGGACTGGTTGTAATTAAATATTTTAAAGAGCTGGATTGATTGCAATTAAGTATTTTAAAGGCCTTTTAAAGACTTTTAAGACCTTGTGGGACAAGCAGAATATTTCCTGGGGTTGGAGGTGACCTCAGATCTGAACAGAACCCCTGTTGTCAGGACAGGCTCAGACTGCGGGCAGAATAAAGAAGTCTTGTTCTGTATTTTGGGGGCTTGGAAAATGGACCTGTGGGTCTCTAAATCAACATTATGTTAGATATAAAATGGCCCACGTGGGATACAGGCCACGGTAAACCCCTGTCCCCCCACGAAGACACAAAGATATGGAGTAAGGAGCGAGTCCTTTTCTGGGAGTCCTGACCTCTGACCCCCAGGGAACATTTGCAGGCATATTGGCTCAGCTTCTGCTTTTCAAGAGATAATGAGACAGTGTTTGAGAGACTGTGCTCTGGGTCTGTGCTGATCACTCTCCAGGCATTTTTTTGTTTTTTTTCAAGATCTGAGTTGAGATCAAGAGTCAGATGCTTAACTGACTGAGCCAACCAGGCGCCCCTCTCCAGGCATTTTGAATGGAGTCCTCACAACCTGGCAAAGTAGATAATATTTTCATCCCCATTTGACAGATGAGGAAATAGAGGCTCCAAGAGATAGAGGAAGTGGTCAAGCCAGGATTCAGGCTCAGATCCGGAAGTTCTCAGTGTTGTTGTGGCCCTAAAGACCACTTTTACTTATGAACCAGGCATAACGTGAGTGGGGCTCAGGTAGAGGAGGGGGAGGTCCAACCGTGACTGTGAAGAGCTGGGGTTCATGTTTACTTAACAAACATGCGTATGACACCCAGGTTGAGCCAGGCATTGCTCCAAGTGCTTTATAAATATTTGCTCTTGTAACTGTAGTAAGGAACCCGTGATGGAGGGTCTGATAGGGCTTCAGCTGTCGGGAAAGGGGACATGAATGTGGCTAGTGAAGAAGCATGGGGCTCTGAACCCAGAGTCTCAGCCCTGCCCCTGGCTATCCATAGGACCGTAGGAAAGTCCCCCCCGCCTGCCCAGTCTCAAATTCCTCTTCTGCAAAATGGGTCGATGCTGTACTCGGAGCTGATACAGGGCTCAGGCAAAGTCAGAGGTTGTCACTGGGTGGACAAGCAGGGCCGTGGACGCCGTGTCCTCATGCCTTTCTCTTCCCCCTCTGCCTACCCCCATAGCCGCTGGTCCGAGACCCATGCCGCAGCTGCGCCGTGGTGTCCAGCTCCGGCCAGATGCTGGGCTCAGGCCTGGGCGCCGAGATCGACAGCGCTGAGTGCGTCCTGCGCATGAACCAAGCGCCCACCGTGGGCTTTGAGGCGGACGTGGGCCGGCGCAGCACCCTGCGCGTGGTCTCGCACACGAGCGTGCCTCTGCTGCTGCGCAACTATTCACACTACTTCCAGCACGCTCGAGACACGCTCTACGTGGTGTGGGGACAGGGCAGGCACATGGACCGGGCACTGGGTGGCCGCACTTACCGCACGCTGCTGCAGCTCACCGAGATGTACCCAGGTCTGCAGGTGTACACCTTCACCGAGCGCATGATGGCCTACTGCGACCAGGTCTTCCAGGACGAGACGGGCAAGAACCGGTGAGCCTGGCGCTGGGCCGCCAGGGGGCCCTCCCTGCCGGCGGGGGGCGGGGCGGGGGACACGACTTCTCTACTGAGTTCTTGTCCGTGAGGGTCTGCTCTATCAGGCACCTGGGGGAGGGTCAGCTGTGTTGGAGGCAGATGTGCTCCTGCCCCTGATGGGGGACAGAAGCAGGACTGTCATTCATTGAGTTAGCACATAGATGAAAAGTCCCCAGGGGTGGTGAGGGCTGTTTGGCTTTGCAAGGACAAGATTGGGGAGCATTGCCACGTGGGAGAATGTCGGGGAGCGCTTCCTTCTGGAGGGGATACTCCCTGAGATCTGAATTGGTCTCTAAAGTCCCTGCCAGAAAAGAAAATAACAGTTAACAGTAGGAACAGCCCTCTGCGTGCACTAGGCACTGAGTTAAGGACTCTGCATGGAAGAACTCATTTTATCCCACACTCAGAAGAGCACCTGATTCCCGCCTGCCTCCTCTGCACACTGGCTCCGCCCCCCACCCCAACTCAGGAAATACAGTTGCCAGCCTCTGGTTTCCAAGACAGAAGCTTGGACTTTGCACCTGACTCCTTTCATTGCATCACCTGACACATATCATGGGCTCTTGACTCTCCTTTTGTGCCACAGGTGCCACCTTGACTTAAGTCACCATTCCTCCCCCCGCCCCCCACCCTTATAGCACCCTCTTGCTGCTGCCTCTCTGGCCTCCTATTGTCTGAGCACCAACTGCCCTCAACCCACTGTTGGTGGCCTGCCCTCAACCTGACAGCAGATTTACTTTCATGTCCTCCCCTCCCCTGGCCTTCAGGTCTCCTATGATCTGGCCCCTGCCTGTCTATGATCTCATCATCTCCCCTCACTCAGCCTGCCCCAGCCATCTGGGCTTCCTCAGAAGGAGGCCTTGCACATGCTGTTCCCTCTGTCTAGAATGTTCTTCCTCCATATCTCCCTATGACTGACTCTTTGGTATTCAGATCTGGATGGGATGTCACCTCCTCAGAGAAGCCCTCCTTGACCACTCTGCCTGAAGGCATACCTCCCTGCCCAACATTCTTTGTCTCTTTCCTTTGTCTCCTTGTCTTCTTCACAGTTCTGCCCCCTCCCCGTGAATGTTAGCACTGGCTATGGCAGGTTCCTGGCCAGCACAGGGCCTGGGAGGTATGGAGTTTGAAGGAGTGAGCCACCAAATAAGCCCTCTGTCAGGGTGGAGGTGAGCGGCTCTTGGCTAGGAGAGCAACAGCACTGGTGTATTGAGAGGGTGGAGGGCTGGGCTGCCCACACAGCCCCTTGCTCCCAGGTGCGTGTGGGGGAATGTGGGAGGTGCTGAGCGGACAGTGTTCCCTCCCCATAATTATCTATAATTCTCCCCATTTCACAGATTGGTCAGTAAGCCCCAGAGAGGTTTGGGGGCAAACCTGATACTGTAGAGCAGATTCAGGGTTTGAATTGGAGACCATCTGACTCCAGACAACCATCTTTTTTTCTTTTTAAGATTTTATTTATTCACTTGAGAGAGAGAGGGAAAGGGAGAGAGCACAGACAGCAAGAGAGGCAGAGGGAGAGGGGGAAGCAGACTCCCCGCTGAGCCGGGAGTCCGGTGTGGGGCTCAATCCCAGGACCTGGAGCTCAGGACCTGAGCTGAAGGCAGATGCTCAACCATCTGAGCCACCCAGGCGCTTCTCCAGACAACTGTCTTGCCCACTTTCAGCCACTGTGCTCTATGGCCTCCCACCATCTCCCTAGGCTTGGTCCCTTAGATGAGCAGAGGTTGTGACCAGGGTCGCCCCACCATCATCTGGGGCTTTGCTCCAGTCCTTTGTGGGTGGTGAGGGGCTGAACAGGCCTAGGGTTGCATCCAACTCCACCCGTTGCCTGCTGCTCCTCTCGGGCTGGCTCTGTCCCCTCCCCAGCCTCCCCCTGGGTCCCCTCTGTGGGGGTCAAGGTGGGGGCCCTTGGCTGGGAGGGTAGCGAGCACTGTGCCCTTGAGAGAGCTGAGGTGGGGCCTGTCCCACAGCCCCTTGCTCCAGCTTGAGTCGGGGAAGCGACCGGGCTGACCCTTCTCCTTCCTCCCAGGAGGCAGTCGGGCTCCTTTCTCAGCACCGGCTGGTTCACCATGATCCTCGCCCTGGAGCTGTGTGAGGAGATCGTGGTCTATGGAATGGTCAGCGACAGCTACTGCAGGTCAGGCCGCCCAGGTCCTGGGCAGGAGGAAAGCCCGGGGCGGGGAGGACCATGGGCAACCACCCCCCACCACCGCCATCCTGGCTCAGCCTGGGGGCTCCCCAGTGGGCAGCCGAGACTCAGACACCCCTTGGGCCGGGTGCCAGGTGGGAAGGAGCCCAGCTTCATGATGGGTCTCTGTGACTTTGGGCCAGACACGCCACCTCCCAGGGCTTCCATATGTATAAAAGAAAATAATCACACCTTTCCCAGAAGGTGGAAGCAAGATTTAGAGAGAGAATAGTCTACCAAAGTGCTTAGAACGGCATTGTCGGGCGCCAGCTGATACGCACGTCTGGGATAGATCACATCTGACCTGTCACCATCAGTACGGTGATGCTCCCGCATTACCGTGAGTAACACGTGTGGAGTGTGCCAGTGGGGTCCACGATCTTTATCTTCCGTTCTCTTTGGAGCGTGCTTGATGAGCCCGTAGATGAGATGACGGGAGCCCGTGTGTCCTCTGCCATGGTCCCTGCGGTTTGCAATCTTGATCTTTTTTTTTTTTTTTAAAGATTTTATTTATTTATTTATTTATTACACAGAGAGAGATCACAAGTAGGCGGAGAGGCAGGCAGAGAGAGGGGGAAGCAGGCTCCCTGCTGAGCAGAGAACCCCATGCGGGGCTTGGTCCCAGGACCCTGAGACCATGACCTGAGCCGAAGGCAGAGGCTTAACCCTCTGAGCCACCCAGGTGCCCCATGCAGTCTTGATCTTGTTGGACCTGTGGTCTCACATGCCCATGTCCATTTTATAGATGGGTTATTTATGCTCGGAGTGTCTGCCTCTGGCCCAGTGTCAGCCAGCTTGCCAGAGGCAGATCTGGGGTTGAACTCTGGCCTTTGGGATCTGTGGGCTGCCCCGCTCCTCCCCTGTCTGTGCTGGCCTTCCCCGGGGCGGGCGTGGGGCTCCGTGGGAGTACCTGGTGAGGCATAGCCAGGGTAGGCGGCCGCAGGTGGTCGGAGGTGGGCGAGTTCCGTACCCCACGTCTGTCCCTCTTCCCTGCCCGCAGGGAGGACAGCCACCCCTCGGTGCCTTACCATTACTTTGAGAAGGGCCGGCTGGACGAGTGTCAGATGTACCTGGCGCATGAACGGGCGCCCCGCAGCGCCCACCGCTTCATCACCGAGAAGGCCGTGTTCTCCCGCTGGGCCAAGAAGAGGCCCATCGTGTTCGCCCACCCATCGTGGAGGACCCAGTAGCCATGTCACCTGGCCGGCCGCCACACCTTCACCGGGCCTCTGTTCCACATGCCACCAAAACATTTAACTTATGGATCCTGTTTCATGCCTTGTGGACCTAAGGTCCCTTCTTGTCCTACCCTGGGGACACTTGGAGCCCTTTTTAGGGCTCCGGACTTGATGGGGGAGAGGAGGACTCTGGTGAACTTTGCACCCTCCTCCGCACCCCACTCCCTGAGTCACCCAGATCTTCATTTTGGGTTCATCCCTTCTCTGGGTCTGTCCAGTGGCCTTTGCCCCGGGGCCGATGGCCCCCACCACTCACCAGCATTGTGATCTTGGATCCTGCAACAGCTCTGTCCCTCTTCACTGTCCCCCTCCACTTGCCTTTGGTGCCACACTTCCCAGGCTGGTTGTCCTAGTCAGGGCAGCCCAGAGCTTGGGGTTCACTGGGCAAAGGGGCCTTTGAACTGTGACTGCCAGGGCCACCTCTGGAGTGTACGGGTAAATGTATGTTTTCTGGAAGCCTGTCTGAAGTGTGGTCATGTGTCTGGGGGTGGGGATTAGGGCTCTTATCCCTGCCACAGTCCCATAACCTGTTGACTCAAGGGCAGGATGAGTCCTCGGGCTCCTTCCCAGGCCCACAGCTGGCTGGGCCTCTGGCTGTTTAATCTGCCCCCGTGTTTCTTCCCCAGGAGCCTACCTGCTTCCCCACCAGGCCAGGAGCTCTGGCCGCCTGGCTGTACTGGGCTCAGGGAATGCCCCAACTTAGAGGCTTCCAGGGAACCCCTTGTCCTGCATCAGTGGGAGGAGAGCCGAGGGCCTGGGAGGAAATGACTCAGGGTGGGACGGAAATTGCTCCACCCAATGTCGTCTCCATGGTCCGTGGGTTAAATTCCAAGGATCTTACCAGCAAAATTCCCTATTAACTCTGGAGTTGATCACACAGCAGGAAAGGGAGGCAGAGGGCAGGCCCCTGGCTTTCCCTCTCTCAGTTTTAGTTTTGTCATCTAGAAGGTGGGAGAAGCAGACCCACCAGTAAACCTTTAGCAAATGCCAGTGAGCACGGGTCTGCCGCCACCCTGGGAGGAGGAGGGTAGTGTTAGCCCATTTTACAGAGAAGGAGAAGCCACTGGCTGAGCCAGGATACAACTAGCCAGGCCTAGTGCCTGGAACCTGCACTAAGGGGCTGGGAAGAGACCCCAGAGGTCTTCACTACCTCTTCCTCCCTCCTTCCCTCCCTTCATTTGAGACCAGGAGACCAAAGGAGAACCAGGACCCCAGGACCTTGGGCTCTCAGCTGGAATGGAGTCCTGGGGTTCTAGCTCCCTGCCCCAGGGTTTGGGGCCTGCTTTATGGGCCTATAACCTGGACAGCTGTTCAGAGTCCTATGCTTAGCATAATACTCTGCTATTGTCAACTTGAAATTCTTAATATGTTTTTTAGGAAGGGGCTGCAGATTTTCACTTTGCACTGGACCCCCACAAATCACGGGGCCAGTCATGCCAGGGAGTCTGGGTGACCCAGCACGCTTCCCCTCCTGCCCCCAGCCTTCTCCAGAGAGGCTGGAGACCTGGCACCTGGCCCACAGCCCTGCCTTTTGTGCCCTGCCTGCCCCTCCCCAGTGCCAGATGCTTAGCCCAGAAGCCTCCGCAGGCGTGGGAGGAGGGAGGAGAGCCCCGAGCTGGGAAGTAGGGAGGAGCAGGCTGCTGGTCACACCGCAGCTGCTGGCCTGGCAGGAGCCTGTGTCTGGGCACAGGTACTGGGCAGAGGTAAGGGTGGGATGTAACCTGGTAGGCAGAGGGTTGGGAGGGGAGATCCTAGGCTCAGAGGGACGGCTCTGGAACAGAGACCTGGCCTCGGGCTCCTGCTGTGGAATGCTGACAAATTAGTGCCTTTCTCCAGGCCTCAGCTTCCTCATCTGTAAAAGGTATTAAAGTAGTCCCTACTGGGGTGCCCGGCGGGCTTGTTGGTAGAGCGTGTGGCTCTTGATCTCAGGGTCATGAGTTCAAGCCCCAAGTAGGCATGGAACCTCCTTAAAAAAAAAGAGGGGAAAAAAGTAGTCCCTCCCCATGGGATTTTATGAATTCAGAGAGATGGCCCCAGGGCTGGCACTTGATAGGTGGGACCCGTCATTTTCAAAGGGATCTCCCTGGCTAACCCAGCCCCTGCCCTTGGCAGGGACAGAGGCACTACAAGACCTCTCAGCCCCATCAGCTGCCTCCCTGCCCACAGCCTCATCCCCCATCTCCAAAGACCAGAGATGGTTCTGATAGGATTTGAACTCACCCCCCTCCCAAGGGGTTGCTGCCTCCTCCTGCTCCGTCCCCCCAGGAGATGCTGGCTCAGCCCCTGGGCCCAGTGCACAGAGGAATCTCTGTCCTGGTCCTGCCCCCGGGTGGGATGTTTTTTGCTGGGTTGGCCTAAATAATGTGTCTTTCTGGGGTGGTGACTTGGCAGGAATACTCCATCGGCTACTTTCTCCGGGCCAAGGAGGGTGACCCCTGGCTGCTCCGGTGACTGGTTCCGGGCCTGCTGAAGTCTCTCTGAGGCAGCCCCTTCTCGGCCACTGGAGTTCCAGCAGCTTCCGAGAGGTGAGCTGGGGGCAGGAGCTTCCTCCCACCTCTGAGGGGTGTGGTGGGGCTGGGGCACCGTGGTGCACGGCCCCTCTTTGGGGCCCTGTTTTCCTGTCTACAGCCCTGCCCTTTGTCCCCTTAGCAGGCCTGCTGGGGACACATCTACTTCATCCTGAGGTCAGAGGGGACACTAGGTGAGTCTCACAGCCTAGAAGTGTCGGTGTCATTAGGGGTCTGTTCTCAGAGGGAACTTGGGGCCAGGCCAGGAACTCACACTCAAACATCATCTAGGCAGATGAAGAGAAGATGACAAGTTCTTCTGGACACCGGTGGGCTCCTGTGCCCGGGTCACCTGGGCCACCTGACCACTCCAGCCTGCCATTTAGAACCAGCTGCTTCCTGGTTCCAGACCTGTTGCCCAGGTCTCGGGAACATGGGCTCATGGAGAGCTCCTGTGTGCAGGTCCACACCCTCTGGGGACTCTCATTGGCCTCTCTTCCGGAAGCCCTTCCCTTGGGCTCCTTCTCTAGCTGGAGGGAAAGAGGCTCCAGCTTTCAGGCTTGGCTCCCACACTGGCTCTGCCCAGGAGGTAGTGGGGAGACGGGGGCAGGTGTGGACCCCTCTACAGGCCTTGGTTTTAGTCCATGTAAATTGGGAGCTTTGGTGGTGGGTGAGGAGGTCCTGGTGGGCTCTTCCTAGGGCAAAGATTGCTAAGGGTTAAGAAGGGAGGATGGTCACACTCAGGACGCCCACTCTGGGACAGGAAGGCCTGACACAGAGGCCACCTCTGCCTGACTGTGGACGGGCAGCCCTGTGGGGAGGACCTGCTCCGGGCAGGGTTCAGGGTAGCTCCCGCACTGGCCAGCCATCCATGAAAGTCCTGCTGTGGGCGTGAGGCAGGCCTGGGGCTTCGGGGCAGAATGGCTTGTGGTTATTCAGTAGTAGACAAGCGTGGGGGAATCCCAGCCTGGGCATCTGCCCTCACCTGAGCCTCACTTTCTCCTTCTGGAGTGTAGCACCCATCTCATAGGTTATTTTAATTCGGGGAGGTCTGTCTGCAAAGTGCTTAGCACAGGAGAAAGCACCCAACATGCCAGAGCTGTTCTTCTTACCCTGGTGATTACTGATACGGTTGTTCTTGTTCTTGGGGCCCAGGGAAGGGAAGCTGACCCTGAAGTGGAGCCTCCTGGAGTCAGTCTGGGCCCAGAGACATGGCAGGCCTGAGGGGGGAGCTCCAGGTCAGGATTTGGTCCAGGAGCTGGGTTGTTGCACTCTTGATTTCCGGAGTCCGTGTCATCGGCCTGGGGCAGGAAGCTGAGCTGGGGACAGGAGGCCCCCACCCCTGGTACAGCCTCCAACCTGCGGGGTGACTTCAGGCAAGGGGTTGCTCTCTGAACCCCCAACATCAGGCTTCCCACTGGACAGCCCTGTTTGCTACCCTGTGGCTTTCTGTCTGGGGGCTGGCAGGGCGAGGTTTGGGGGCTGGAGTGGAGTGGGGCTCAGGAAGCACATAGAGGTGGACAGCAGGGGGGGCAAGAGGCCTTGAATCCACCTTTGGCTCTCCCCACTGAGCCCCCCTGCCCAGTGGGGGTGTCTCCACAGCCTAGAAGATGGACCTTGGGTCCTCCCTCCACCCCACTTTTGTTTTAATGGAACACAAAATAGTATTAATTTAACAAATGACTCCATCATGAACAGCCTGGAACTTAACAAAGCAAAAAGTGAAGGTAACACCTACCCCCCTGCCCCGTATCTATTCTCCAGGGGGAACTCCTGCCAGTAGTCCAGTATGGATTCTTCCAGACCTTTTGTGTGCATTTACAAATCTACAGATATAGATAGTTGTATTTTTTAGAAATTGTGTTATAGATGCAGGTTTTTTTATAAGTTAAAAACTCAGTTTTTAAGTATAAAAACATTGTGTAGCCACTATCTTAAAATTTCTGTAAAATACAGTTAAGCACCCACCCCCCAAAACACAAAAACCCAAAAGCAGCCCATAATTTTATCATTCCAGAAATGACCAATTAAAAAAAGAAAAGATTTTATTTACTTATTTGTCTGAGTGAAAGAGAGAAATCACAAGCAGGGAGAGTGAGAAGCAGGCTCCCAGATGAGGGACTTCATCCCAGGACTGTGGGGTCATTACCTGAGCTGAAGGCAGACACTTAACCGACTGAGCCACCCAGGCATCCCCGGAAATAATCACTCTTAACACTTTAATCACTGACAGGCGGAAGCTATCTCCATATTTTCATTTGATTTATCTCCTCATTCTCTTTTATTTTTTGAATACTGTGATACATACAAATGATGTCATCCATCATACTCGTAAGTTATAAAGTAATAATATAATGACCCTCTTAAACCCATGTCCCACTGAAAGACCAGAGAGTTACAAGATCTGCATGGCTCTGTGTTTCCTCCTCTCCCCTTCCCTGAGTCCTTGCCTCCTCCACGGAGACAGCTGTGTTCTTGACTTTTGCTGGTTTAAAACTTTAATCATTTGAATAGGCAAAAAGCTAAACCTGTCCCTGGTTGTGAGGGCTGCCATCTATATGCTCAAACAACATAGCATGTAGTTTTATTTGTCTTCTGGGATTGGTCTTTTTCACCACTCATTGTTTCTAAAATCCATGTCATTGTAGCTCATTCATTTTTCCCTGCTGTGTAATATCCCACCTGGGCATCCAGACAAGGAAACAAATCCATTCTCCTGTTGACGGGTATATGGGCTGTTTCCGGTTTTGTGCTATGTCTAGCTCTGCTACTCCCAACTTTGTTGTGCACGTGGCAAGAATTTCTCCAGGATACATATCCAGGAACGGAAAGCATATTTTTACAATTTCCTTTTCCAGAATGATTAACTTCTTTCACTTGCTTTCTTCGCTTGAACAGCCTGTAAATATCCTGGACATTTCTTCCTGGCGGTGCATAGCGCTTCTGCATCCTTCATTCTAGCTGGGCTGTGCCTTTGTGTGTTTGACTAAGTCCCCGTCAGGACTACTATCACATAAAACGATGTCACGAATACCCCGATAACTCTAAGAAGTAACACAACATTTTTAATCCTGACGACACCCCGTCAGGTTGTTCTTATTTTCCAGAGGCAGAGGAGGGTAAATGATGTGCAAGCCTGAGCAGCTAGCAGAGGGCACAGCTAGACTTGAATCCAAGGGAGGTCCCCCGAGTTCACCCACGGTGGCTAGTGGATACAAGGCTCTGGAGGCCCCTGGTAGGGGAGCCCAGGGAGAAACTCGACTGATTCCAAGCGCAGTGTGCCCCAGGACTCAGTTTCCCCATCCAGGTCCTGGCGGCAATAAAGCGAATAGAAGCGGCTCCGACTCACACTGAAGGGCTGCAGAAGGCTGTTATGTGTGCGGGGGGTGGTGGTGGTGGTGGGGTTTATTGCCACTACAGGCTTTCCATAGGAGCAAGGGGGGCGCTGGTGCGGTCCCGGCCCGGGGTCGCCCGCCCCTCACCCTTCCCCGCCAGCACCGCCCCGGGGCGGAGCCACCCGCGGCCCCTCCAGGCTCCTCCCGCTTCGCTGGCCTGGGCCCGAGCGGCGGCGGCGGCGCTAGGACCCGCCGGGCGGCGGCTGCGGCGGGGCCTGGGCGGCCGGAGCAGCGCGGACCCCGGCTCTCGGCTCCCGGCGCCATGTGAGGGGGCTCGGGGGCCGCGGGGGGCCGGGCGCTCCCCGGGGGAGGTGAGCGGACGCCGTGCGGAGGCGGGTAGCGGGAGGGGAGCGCTGCCTGCGCCCCGGGGCGGGGGCGGGGAGCCCCCAGGGCAGGGGTAAGATGCGGGGCCCCAGGTTTCCCCTAGACCCACTCTCGGCAGCCGCGCCTGGAGATCCCGGTCGTGGCGCCCATGGGCTGTCGCAGGGTTCGCGGGGCCCCTGCCGCTTACTACCTCGTTAGAGCTCGGGGACCTGCCGCCGTCCTGCCTCCCTCCTCTTCCCAGCTGGGGCTAGGGCTGTGGACATCCCGGAGTGCGGGCACTGGGGGAGGTCGTCAGCGCAAGAGGGGGCGTAGAGGGTAAGTCGTACCCCGCCAGTGGACCCACGGCCTCCGCGACCCCCCATGTAGACATTAGGAGCCTCCCTTCCCCTTCTCCCCACAGCCCTCCTCCCACGAGGCTCGTGGGGGCGTCTCGACCCTGTGGGAGGACTCCCCCACGCCGAGAGAGGCAAAGCCCCCAAACAGAGAGCAGGGTGTGGCCCCCACCCTTAGCGCAGGGACTCAGCCCTCCTGCTCTGCCAGCCTCGGGGCTGAGGCCGTACTCCTGGCCCCGCGCTCTGGGCTGCCAACTCCCCAGGCCTCCCCAGCCTGAGCAAGTCGCTCCCCAGCAGGCCTGCTCCCTAGTGCTAGGCCGGTGCTGAGCACACACTTGGTGGCCTCTGGCCCATTCCAGCCCGTGGAGATCCTGGAGGGAGATCCCGGCAAGCTCAGCCCCAGGCTGCTCCCTGAGAACAAGCCTGTAAACAAGGCTCCCCAGAAGACACTGGGCAGCTCTGCCTCTCTGAACCTCAGTCTCCTTATCTGTGAAATGGGGAATAAGAGTCCTTCCCTTGCAGCATTGCCGGGAGGATGGGGTGAGTGGGTGATGCGCAGTGTGGCTCCCTGCACACCTTCCTCCATATTAGAGGGAAGTGGCTAGGCTAGGTGTCGGAGAAGGGGCAGTGTTTCCCTCGCAAGCTCAAGGTGAGGCAGGCCCCCAACAATGAATAACCACGAGATGAACAGCTACTGACAGGCACTGACCAAGCACTTTCAAGCCCGGTGCTTCCCTTGCCACATCTGCTTGAATCCTTTCAACAACCCTGTAAGTTACCTCCTCTTATTATTCCCATTTCAGAGATGAGGAAACTGAGGCTCAGAGAGGTCACATGGCTTGCCCGAGGCCCCTCAGCCAGTAAGTGGTGGAACCGGGATTCGCACTGGCACCTGAGATGCTGTGACCATGGCCTTCTCAGCAGGATTGTGACGGGGCTGACCAGAGGGTCGGTGGTCCTGGCTGAGGGCACTGCTCAGGCAAAGGTGGGAAAGTAGGGGTGGGCCTGGGAACTGGACAGCCGTGGTGTTTCTGGAGCGTGGGGCATAAGAAGGAAACGGTAGTGAGAGGAGAGGCTCTGCTCAGAGACAGCTGGACCGTGAGGGCCTGGACGGCCAGAGGGTCAACGCTGATGGGTGCGACACTGGGATTCAGGACTCCCGTCTTGCTCCATAACGGGCTGTGAGTCCAAAGACAGGCTGCTTTTGGTTTCTAATGAGCCTCAGTTTCCTGATCTGTATCGCGGGCACTGGACCCAGTGAGAAGCCCGGTGAACCCCCTGATGGGCCCTCCCGCCCGGGAGAAATCTGAGACCTGGCGGGGGAGGAGGGGGGCTCCCGCGGAGAAGGGGCGGGGCCGGTCAGTGGGCGGAGTCTGGGACCAACCAATCAGGAGCGGCATTGGGGGGAGCCTCCTTTGGCCTGAGGTTCTATGGCTATTCCTGGTGGCAGTGTAGGAGTAAACAGCGGCCAGGTCAGGGGGCGGAGATAGTGGCGGGAGCTGGGAGTCCCCTGGAGGGGAGGACAGAGCTGGGGAGCCCGGGGCCCTGTTTGTCCCTCTGCACATTCTTCCTCTGTCCTTGAATCTGCTCGAGGTGGCTGGTTGCAAGTACTTACTCCCTTTTGACAGGTGGGGAAATTGAGGTCTGGAGGGGAGCTAGGGCCTGTGAGAATGTCTCCTCGCAGCGCCGGCCGCTGAGGGCAGATGGGCAGGAAGGAAGGGCTGTCCTGGGCTGCATCATCACTGGAGGCCCCCCAACACCCCACCCCTGAGGGTGGGGCTGTGATTATAACCCATTGGTGAGTTGTGCCCTTAACTCCCCAAGATCTCATTGTTAATTAGCAGAATCATTCACTGAACCTCCTGCACGCAATCCCGTGGCTTTGGAGGCACAGGGGGAGAGTGTGACTGAGGATCTGTGCCCACCCCACCCTCAGAGAGCTCTTAGCCTAGCCAGGAGGTGACACACAGGAAGTTGCTGGCCTACCCCAGGCTTGGAGGATGAGAGGGCATGAGCAGGGTGCAAGAGGGCAGCTGTTCTAGATAGAAGGGACAGTTTGTGCAAGATCTGGAAGGGCGCCTGTGCAGAGGAGTCTGGGGACCTAGAAGGAATATTGCTTTATTCCAAGGCTGCAGGGGCCTCAATCAGAGTCTGGGATAGGAATGCATGGGGCTCTTGCTGAGTGGGGGACAAGCCCCCAGCAGGGGAGTCAACTTTAAGGCCTGCCAGCTGTCTAGAAGAGCTAAGGTATGGGGAGGTCCCTGCTCAGGGAGCAGAGTGGGAGAGAACAAGGGGCAAGGAGAGAGGCATGGCTCTGCCACCACCCGGCTCTGTGACCACGGGCAGGTTCCTGCCCTTTCTGGGTCTCAGTACCTCCCTCTGCAAAATGAAGAGCCTTGAAGTCATGGGTGGGTAGGAGGGCTGGTGGGGTGGGGAGGGTGTAGCCTTTGACCAGCTGTGCTAGAGGGAGCGCTCCCAAGCTGTAACCTTTCTGTGACTTGCAGGTGTGACCCCACATCCCTGCCCCCTGGGCCACCTGCAGGACGCCGAGCTCTGCCCCTCAGCAGACGCCGGAGAGAGATGAGTAGCAACAAAGTAAGTCCCCCTTCACTTCTTGTCCCCATCTCAGCCTTTTACTTCCTCAGCGAAATGGGCTTCTTTGGACCCGCCTCAGACCCAGGCCACCACCAGTGTCTCTCCCCTACCAAGAAGTGCCTGATGCCTGAGAGGCCATGGCTTGAGCTCTGCTGTGGCCACTGATCTCTGGCTTTGGCCAAGCCCCTGTCTCTCTCCGACTTGGTCCACCTCTCTCTTCCTAGTTTTGACTGGTCCATCTGTGGTAAAGGGTGGGCCGAGAAGGTGACTGTGAAGGGTGGGGGGAGGAGGGGCAATGGCCAGAGTCAAAGAGGACAGGATGTTGTGAGCATCACCTTGAGGGTGTCAGAGTGATCCATGCATTCATGTTTTCCTGAGCACCTACTATGTGCCCGGCCCCATGCACCCCTTTCCAGGGATCCACTGCAGAGCCCGAGGTTTGGAGTAGTGTGATATGGGCATATCGATCTGGGTCTGATTGGGAGAAGGAAAGCACACAGTCATTTGAACAGGGAAAGATTAGGGGAAAGAATTCTCCGCAACAGCCAGGCATCAGAGTAACGAGGACTTGGAATTCTAAGGAATACGGGAAGGAGGAGGCTCCAACTGCAGGGCTGAGGTCCAGGGCACAACTCTGGCCCACGGGATGGCAGAGAACCCACTGTGGCCCTGGGCCAGTGGAGTTGGCCTAAAGTTGTCATAAAACCACCCCCTGGGTCACAGGGAAGGCTGCCACTCCCAAGAGGCACTCGGAGCCCATACAGAACTGCTCCGGGGAGGGAGCTTATGGCCTCTGGTTTGAGTGTTTGAGTATACAGCCTGAGCTGAACTCTGGAGAAGCTATGATCACAGCGGGAGCCGGAGGCACTCTGCTCCCAGCCTGCCTGAAGGCAAGGGAGGGGGGTTGGAGGGGAGCTGCCGAGTGCATCCAGCTGCTAGCTGCTGGCAGCTCCTGGCCACCGGGAACTGGGGCTGGAGCAAGTGCTGTGGGAGCCCTGTACTGTGGAGGGGCAAGGGCATGGACCACATGTCAGGCCCCCCAGCCGCAGGAAGCAAACTCCTTTTCTCCTGCACTGCCTCTCCAGTGCCATTTACCAACAAAGCTCAATCTGCAATTAACTGGCAAAGAAACACACGTAAGGGCCCAGGTCCATTTTCGCAGAGCAGGCAAAGAGGGTGAGCTTGGACCTGAGAGGCGATACATGAACAAGCAGCACGGGGATCTTAGCACAAGGAGCCAGGACTTCCAGATCTTGCCTGGCCGTGCAGGGCCTGGGCGGATAAATCCCAGCAGATACTTTGTATATCCCTTTCCTGCCCTGTCGGTGACACGGTGGGCCCTGAGTGCCCATGCACCACAATTCCTGAGCAGATCCATCCCCTCGAGGCTTAATGAAAGATAAATAAATTACAGAGAGTTCCTGTTTGGGGAAGACCTTGGCCCCTGTCCCTTGAATGCCCCAGCTGTCTCCAAGCATCCTTCCAGCTGTCCCCGGGGGGATCCCTCTGACACACGCAATCCAATCCAGCGAATCCTCCCTGAGAACCCTCTGAGCTTCTGTAATCCGGGAGCTGGGATATGGTGGCCATTGAGGCTGTTTCGGTCCCAGCCCTCAGAGGTTATGGTCTATCGGGGCAGGGAGAGGGGGATGGCAGTTTGAATGCAGCGTGACCAGTGCTGGGATGGGGGTGCTCAGGGGGCCGGAGGGGGTAGTGTCTGAGCTGGTCTGGAAGGATGAGCAGGAGAGAGCTGGGCAAGGCAGGTGGCAAGGACGAGGCGGAGGCCTGTGTGGTGGCTGGGCGCTCAGTGGCCTCTCCCCTCTCCAGGAGCAGCGCTCAGCGGTGTTCGTGGTTCTCTTCGCCCTCATCACCATCCTCATCCTCTACAGCTCCAACAGTGCCAATGAGGTCTTCCATTACGGCTCCCTACGGGGCCGCATCCGCAAGCCCATCAACGTCAGGAAGTGGAGCATCACGGATGCGTATGTCCCGATTCTCGGCAACAAGGTAGTGCGACAGCTCTGGGGAGCTCCCCGAGACCGGGCTGACGGCTGACCCACCCCACGGCCCACCATCTCTGTTCCCACTTCCTCTACCTCTTCTCTCTGCTACTTCCATTCTTCCTAAATGAGAGTCAAGGCCCTGGCTTCCGGTTCCTTCAGCCCCCTGTTGGCTGTGTGACCTCGAACAGGTGCCCTTGTCCCCTTCTGGGCCTCCATTTTCTTCAAGGTCCCATTTTTAGCCCTGATACCCTACTGCCTAGTGAATCAGAATCCCTAAGGAGAGATGTCTCTGGTTTTCCCTGATCTCTGTCCCTGCTGGGGAGTCCACACAGGGTTTGGAAGCTGAGCACTGGAGGGCTTGACAATACAGAAACAGTCATAATAATGGCTGTGCTTTATCGGTTGCCTGCTGTGTGCTGGGTACCGTAATTAACGGTAATCATCATACCGACCCTGTGAGGTCAGCATTGTTAGCTCCCTTGAAGAGATGGAGAAACCAAGACTCAGAGAGGTAAAGTCACTTGTCCAAAGCCACACAGCCAGGGAGGGGAGGAGCTACTGTATTGCCCCCCACCTCCCAGACGTGCAGCTCAGTAGAGAACCCAAACATTATTCCCAGGACTTCTATTTGCCTTGCGTAGCCATGAGACTGACGTTGTGTTTTTGGGATCCACCCTAGAAGCCTCTAAGCCCTAAATGTTTTCTAGGAGAACAAGGAGATAATCGTTGGCCTGGAATATGGACTCCACCTTCCAGGAGGAGGAGGTCTTCCAATCTGTGCCTGCCTCCCTCCCCTCCCTCACAAATCCTCCTGAATTTCTTAGGATCTGAATACATGCTTACTGGAAAGGGCTCATTAGGAGGTCTTCAGAGACAGATCAGCATCTGTCTCTAGACCCTAAGAGACCCTAAGAACTCTTAAAATAAAAATAATGGAACCTGGAAAAAAGCAGAAGAGCTTGAGAGTGGGCGACACGGAAAAAAGGGAATGAGGCAGCATTGGGCTTATAGACAGGGATGCCAGTAGAGCTCAGGAAAGCTGGAACAGTCCTCATTTGAGGTCCATGGGATCTGCCATCAGATCTCAGAGTAAAGACTCAGGGAGGACTGCCTGAAGGAGGTAGCTCCTGAGCTTGGGCTTAAAGGGTAAACAGGAATTTCACGGCAAGAAATTAGGCCCCAGAAAACATGTGGTTCTGACTCATTCACCAGTGGGGAAACAAAGGCCCAGAGGGGCTTCCACACCCTGTCCGGACTGACAAGGTAGGGTGTTGTTTGTGGGTGGTGCGGAAATGTCATGGGTGCCCTGGGGAGGATGTCCTCTTAGGGGAACTGGACTGGGCTGGGGCTCTGTGGCCATGTAGACCTGGGTTCCTACCCAGGTACTCCCCTTCTCTGCTGTGTGACTTTGGGGATATCCCTGCATGACTGTCCTGTCCTCCTATTCCTTCACTCTGCCCCAGCCGAGTGGCCTTCTTTTGCCTTTCAAAACACTGTGGTCATTCCCATTTCAGAACCTCTGGTCTTGCTGTTTTTCCTGCCTTGTTAACTTTCCTACATGGTTCCTTTTCATCTTCCAGGTCTCAGCTCCGAGGGCCCCCCACCACCCTGCCCTGCCAGATGATCTTCCTAGAGTAGCCCCCACTCCTGTTGCTCTTGATCCCTTGCCCGAACTGCATTGTCTTTGTAGCACGTTTCACTCACCACCTGCCATTAGTTTTTTAGTTGTTCACTGTCTGTCTCTCTGACCATGAGCCTTCTGAAGGCAGAAGGGGGGTCCCTTTTATTCATTGCTCTGTCCCTGATATTTGGCCATTAGCCAGTTGCTATAATATTTATTGTCAAAGGAACAGTCTTCAGTTTCCTTGTCTTTAAAATGGGCGAAATAGGGTTACCTGGGTGGCTTGTTCAGTTGGGTGTTTGACTCTCGATTGTGGCTCTGGCCATGATCTTGAGCCCGACGTCGGGCTCTGTGCTTGGCGTCAAGCCTGCTTAAGATTCTTTCTCTCCCTCTGCCCACTCCTCCCCCCATCACACTCTCTAAATAAATAAATAAAAATAAATAAGTAAGTAAAATAAAATGGGCAAATTAATTCCTGCCTCCAAGAGGCCTGGATGTACAGAGCATAGGGCCTGGCATTGAGTGGACATGACAGACGGTGTTGACTTTGCTCGCCCCCTCCCAGACGCTGCCCTCCCGGTGCCACCAGTGTGTGATCGTCACCAGCTCTAGCCACCTGCTGGGAAGCAAGCTGGGCCCCGAGATTGAGCGAGCCGAGTGCACAATCCGCATGAACGATGCGCCCACCACGGGCTACTCAGCCGACGTAGGCAACAAGACCACCTTCCGTGTGGTCGCCCATTCCAGCGTGTTCCGTGTGCTGCGGAGGCCCCAGGAGTTTGTCAACCGGACCCCCGAAACCGTGTTCATCTTCTGGGGGCCCCCGAACAAGATGCAGAAGCCCCAGGGCAGCCTTGTGCGTGTCATCCAGCGGGCAGGCCTGGTGTTCCCCAACATGGAGGCCTATGCCGTCTCTCCCGGCCGCATGCGCCAGTTTGACGACCTGTTCCGGGGTGAGACGGGCAAGGACAGGTACCAGCCTCCTGCCTGCCCCCTCTGGCCAGCCCCTTGCTCCCCATCAGCATTCTCTGCCGGAGGGCCTGCTGTACCCAGCATGCACTGCTCTGAGGGTGTGATCACTTCCTGCCCCCCTCTGGTCACGTTTTCCAGGGGAATTTTCTTCATGTCCAGCCCCTAGCAGGAGTTACTTCCAACATACTCTGCACTGTCATGTCTCCCCAGGAGGGCTTCCTCCCAGCACGCATTGCTCCAAGGGAACAGGGTTCCCAGCATGCTCTGCTCTAAGGTGGCATACGCCTAGCATCTTTCTAGGAGACCTCCCAATGGCTCATGGCCGGTATTCACTAAACCGAGCAGGTCTTACTTTAGTCATATAGTTGCTCCCAGCATGATCTATCCTAAGAATACATCTTTGCCAGCATGTCCTTTTCTGGCTGATCTCTCCAAAAAAGCTAGGCCAGTGCTATCCAGTAGAAATATAATGCAAGCCATATATGTAATTTAAATTTCTGTAGTAGCCAAATTAATAAAGTAAACAGAAACAGGTGAAATTAATCTTAATATATTTAATTTAACCCAATACATCCAGCATATAGATCCTATACTTTGTTTTATCCCTAAATAGTTAAGATTTGAAGGAGCTATTGTAAATTGTATTTAAAGTTTTAGGGGGTTCCCAATTACTCATTGCTAATATACAGAAATACGACTGATTTTTGTGTCTTGACTTTGTATCCTATAATCCTGCCAAACTTATTTATTGATTCTGGGAGATTTTTCCAGGTTCATTGGGATTTTCTATACATGTAATCATATCGTAAGGACATATAATTCAGAACAGTTTTATTTCTTCCTTTCCAGTGGTATGCTTATTTCTTTTTCTTGCCTTATTACATTGGCTAGGACTTTTGACACAAGGTCAGATTGTATGGAGAGTGGTGAGAGTAGACATCCTTGGCCTTGGTCTCAGTCTTAGTGGGAAAACATTTGGTCTTTCATCATTGAATAAGATGTTAGCTGTAGAGTTTTTAGCTGTCCTTTATTGAGTTGAAGAAGTTCCCTTCTCTAATTTGTTAAGAGTTTTCATCATTATTGGATATTAAGTTTTATCAAGTGTTTTTCTGTATCAGTTGATATGCTTATGTGGTTTTCCTTAAGGCTATAAGTATGGTGGATTATGCCACCATGTATATTTTTGAATATTGAATCAGACTTGTATTATTAGAGTAAACTTCACTTGGTTGTAGTGTATTATTTTATATATTGCTGGATATGACATGCTGATATTTTGTTGAGATTTTTATGTCTGTGTTCACGAGAGATATCAATCTGTAGTTTTCTACTGTCTTTGCCTGGCTTTGGTCTTATGGGTAATGCTGCCCTCAGAAAAATGTGTAGAATTGGTGTTATTTCTTCTTTAAATGTTTGGTAGAATTTGCCAGTGAAACTGTCTAGGCCTGGAGAGTTCTTTTTTGAAGGTTTTGAACGATGAATTCAGTTTCTTAATAGTCACACATACTCAGGTTAATCTGTTTCATATTGGCTGAGTTTTGGTTTCATCTTGATTTTCAAGGAATTGGCCTATTTCATCTAAGTTGGGAAATTTATGTACATAATTGTTTATGGATTGCTTACCGCCCTTCCATATCTGCAGGGTCTGTGAGGATAGTCTCTGTTTTATTCTTGATATTGGTAATTTATGTCTTTTCTCTCTTTTTCTTTGTCAGTCTCCTGAGAGGTTTATTTCCTATTTAAACTTCCCAAAGGGGCCGCCTGGGTGGCCCAGTCGTTAAGTGTCTGCCTTCGGCTCAGGTCATGATCCCAGGGGTCCTGGGACTGAGCTCCACATCGGGCTCCCTGCGTGGTAGGAAGCCTGCTTCTCCCTCTCCCTCTGTTGCTCCCCCTGCTAGTGTTCCCTCTCTCGCTGTGTCTCTCTCTGTCAAATAAATAAATAAAATCTTAAAAAAAAAAAAAAAAACTTTCCAAAGAATCACCTTCCATTAAATATATCCAAACTATTTTTAGTTAAACATATAGTCAAAAACCACCAGTGACATTTTCTCTGTGTGTGTGTGTGTGTGTGTGTGTGTGTGTGTGTTTTATTTGACAGATAGAGAGATCACAAGTAGGCAGAGAGACAGGCAGAGAGAGAGAGAGGGAAGCAGGCTCCCTGCTGAGCAGAGAGCCCGATGCGGGACTCGATCCCAGGACCCTGGGATCATGACCTGAGCCGAAGGCAGAGGCTTTAACCCACTGAGTCACTCAGGTGCCCCTGTGTATGTGTTTTTAAAGATTTTATTTATTTGACAGAGAGAGATCACAAGTAAGGAGAGGGGCAGGCAGAGAGAGAGAGGGAAGCAGGCTCCCTGGTGAGCCTGCTTCCCGAGCCCAATGCAGGCTCTATCCCAGGACCCTGAGATCATGACCTGAGCCAAAGGCAGAGGCTTAACCCACTGAGCCACCCAGGTGCCCCAATTTTCTGTGTTTTTTTTTTTTCCACACTAAAACATCCCACGCGTATTTTACACTGATGGCACATTTCAGCCACAAGTCGCGCCCACATGTGGCTCCTGGCTGCTGTAGTGGGCAGCTCAGCTCTAGACCCTTGGCTCCTTCCTATGCCTTGCTCTGAGCCTGGGGTCACAGCATGACCTCTGAGGAGTCTCCCGTTAGGTGTTTGCTCCTAGTGTGGTGACAGCAGCTTCTAGCAAGTTCCATCAAGCAAGACCATGAGTCTAGTAAGTTCATGGTCACTTGCAACTTGCCCTGCTGTGACTAAATCTCCAGGAGTTGATTCCCAGCATGGGCTGTTCCTCCAGAGGAGCTCTCTCCACACCCCTCATCTCTGCCCAGACAAGCCCTCTGCCAGCATGTTACATGCTCCCACAGTGGTGCTGGACTAGGGGGTCCCTGAAGTGGGGACAGGGACCCTAGGGCGGGGGAGGGAGAGTTCTGGGAAACTCCAGGTGGGTTGACCATTCCTTCCCATCCGCATGCCCCCTCTCTGCCCGCAGGGAGAAGTCCCATTCGTGGTTGAGCACCGGCTGGTTCACCATGGTCATAGCGGTGGAGCTGTGTGACCACGTGCATGTCTATGGCATGGTCCCCCCGGACTACTGCAGGTGAGCCCCCCTCCAACAACAACCAGTCACTGGCTTCAGGATGGAACCCTGGAGATTTTGGCTGGGGGGTGCCTTTGAGGGCTTCTGTTTTATGGCATTCAAACCGCTCTGCAGAGATCTAGGCTTCTACCTTTGGGGGCCTCCCCACAACTCAGCCAGAGTCCAGAGTTTGTATGTTAATAATAACTATCATTAATATTATCACATGACAAGCCCGCTAGGTGACAGTGTTCTTCACCAAGTGCTGACCGTGTTCCAAGCCTGGCTACATTTGTTACGTCATTTACTCCTCACAGGGACCCTAATGGATAGTTGCTTTATTCTTTATGTTCCATAGATGAGAAAAACTGAGGAAGGCATTTTGTGAGTGGCCTAAGGTCCCACAAACAGTAAGCACTGGGGCCAGGCTCCAGAGCCTTACTTCTTACCACTACCCTACACTACCATCCTCTTAAGGAAAGGAAAAATTTAAATCATATTAAAAACAAAACAAAACAAAACAAAAACCCCCACAAAGTTGGATGGTCATAAACCTAGTCCATCCTACATCCATTTTACAGATGGGGAAACTGAGGCCCTGGGAGGGGCAGGGATTTCCCCGCTGAAATCCTCTAGCAAGTCAGGAGCTGGAAGGGCTGGGCCCCGCTGGTGCCTCCGGTGCCCTGACCGCTCCCATCTGCTCTGCCCCAGCCAGCGGCCCCGCCTCCAGCGCATGCCCTACCACTACTATGAGCCCAAGGGGCCGGACGAGTGTGTCACCTACATCCAGAATGAGCACAGCCGCAAGGGCAACCACCACCGCTTCATCACCGAGAAGAGGGTCTTCTCCTCCTGGGCCCAGCTGTACGGGATCACCTTCTCCCATCCCTCCTGGACCTAGGCCACCCCGCCTGTGGACCTCCCACGGGGTGGGGGGGAAGGCGGGAGAGACCACTCTCTCCTCCCAGCCACTCAACCAAGGGCCATCTCCTGGCCAATCAAAGCTGGCCGGAGTATCTTCGGGCCAATGAGGGCCTTGTATCCTCCAGCCAGTGGGCCTGGGGGTGTCTCTTGACCAATCAGGGATTTGGATTTGAGCTATGTGGTTAATCAGGGGTATTGGAGGTATTTCTTGTCCAGTCAGGGTCTGAGCAGTCAATCAGGGTATTTCTGAAGTTATCTGAGGCTAAGGACATGTGCTTTCCCATGAGGCCTTGGTTCAGAGCCCCAGGATGGACACCGCCCCTCCCCCATCACTCCCTGTTGGCTGGGACAGTGGGATCCTGTCCTGCCGAGCTGGGAACTCTGTGCTGCTCCCTCACTTCCCAGAGCCAGAAAGAGAGGTTGCATGGGAGTGGGAGCTGTGTCTGGAGGCCAGGCCAAGGGCATTTGGGAGCTTGTCGGGGGATCTTAGAGGTAGGAGCCAGCATCTGGGTCTTGGCTCTGCGCTGAGTGGCTTTGGACAAAACTCTTGCCCTCTCTCTGGTCGCCCTCCTGCCTGTGTCAGGTTCTAACATGGAGTCTGAGGCTCCCTTCCCACTTTCCCCACTGACCTTCTTGGGTCTGTCTTCCCTAAGACTGGACCCCTCCCGCCACCACCCCCTTGCTGGGGGGCTCAGCTCCTTGGGGGTCTGGAGTCCTCTTCCTCACGTCCTCCTGGAAACTTAGGGTATTTTTGCATAAACTCCCACAGGGCTTGGGGGGGTCGGATCTAATAGGAAAGGAACAAACCTTCAGCGGTTTCCTTAGTCCCTCCACTCAGCTGCCATTAGTTTGGCTCTTAAAGAGCCAGGCTCCCTTTTCTGCCATCCAGCAGTCAGGCTTTCCACCTGTTGGAGTAGCCTTCTGGGTACTTCAAAGAGGGGTAATCCCAGCCAAACTGGGGTTTCACACAGCCCCTTTTTCTGCAGCTGCTGGAGTCATCCAAGGGTCTCCCCTCAGCTGGGCCTGGGAAGGCTCTCAGGGCCCGGGAGCCCCATTGCCTGGGTTCTGCCCCCTTACTCTACACCAGGCACTTTATTGCTGGACCTCAGGGGGGTGGACTTGTCCCTGCTCTTCCAGAGTCCGGAAGGGAAGACTGGAGGGCTTCCTGGAGGAGGCTGTGGAGCGGGAGGGGTCAGGTGGAGAGGAAGAGGCCAGCAGCAAGCCTTTGCACATTGGGGTGGGGGCTGGGAGCCGGCGACTACCCCAGACTGTTTTGTAATGATTTGTTTAGGAATAAATGCGCCTAAATTCTGGTTCCATTTCCTGTGTCTCTGGGATCTAGCTTGGCTCCCTCTGGCCTGGCTATGGGCTTCCTCAGGACAGTGCCCATGCCCTCCAGCCTGGGAGCTCACACACAGGATGGCTAGCTTCCGCAGCCTGCCAGTGAGTCATGTGTTTTGTAGCTTGGGTGGAGACCTGGGAGCTCCAGAGGTGTGCGGGTTCCTGAACCAAGCCCACCTGGCTGTTCCAGTCCCTCCTCCCACTTCCTGTGTGACCTCAGGCAAGTCATCTCACCTCTTAGAGCCCTGGTTCCCTAATGGGTGAGACAGGTCCAGACACTGCTCTCCTGGTTCTAGGAAGTTCTAGGAAGGGGAGGGGCCTTCTGGCAGCTCTGTCCCAGGCAGGACCTGGAGGGTGCTAAGGACAGCGGGCCAATGACACAGGGCACTTTGTAGAGGTGACATTCTTCTGAGGCCCGAAGGATGAGGAGGAGGCCTGTACAAGTTTGGGGGAAGTGCTTCTGGCAGGGAGAGGTGGGAGGGGAGGAAATGATAACACTGTCCCAGAAAGCTTCATGGGACTGGAGGGGAGAAGCAGGAGCAGCACAATGAGGGGGAGACTGCAGTCGGGGGGTGGGCGCGGGGGGTGCTCGGAGTTTGGCTCTAGAGCCTGGGAGTGCTGAGGGCTGGGAGTGGAAATTTCCTGCAGGGCCCAGTGGGAAGGAGGCCGCAGGGCTGTGGCCCTGGGAGGAGCCTGGTGAGTCCTGGACTCAAGAGGGCTGCCACCACCCTCTAGGCAAAAGGGTTTGTTTACTTGATGTTGGCAAGAGGAAGGGGGTCTGTGACCCTGGCAGATTACAACCTGTTTAGGCAGATAAGATGCCCTTGGGAGCGGGGCCTGACAAAGCGCGCTGTGTGAGATGAGGGCGGGCTGCGGGGAACCGTGGGGGAAGAGCTCTCCCCGGGCACAGGGCCAGCTCGGAGGGTGGGCCACAGAGCTGGGAGATGAGAGGGGCACACTGCATTTGTCTCTTGCTCAAGTATAGGTTCACGCGATAGGCAGCCCCATGCCATGCGCTGCACTGAGTGCAACTGGTGAGGGAGGGAATGTCAGGTGGGGAGAGGGGCCTGAACAAAAGCCTGGAGGGGGGACCCCACTCAAGTCAGCAGTGAGCCCACAGAAGGAGGGAGCAATGGGAGATGAGACTACTTGGGGCCAGACGGGAGAAGGCCCTGAGTATCAGCACGAGGTGGGCTAAGTCACAGCCCTTGGCCAGCAGCAGGATGGACAGGAGGCCACGGCTCACCAGGTACAGTAATGGTGGTCGTGGTTGGCCTGTCGGAGGGACAGGGACTCTTGCAAAGTCCTTACATGGGGTGGGGGGAGGGCTAAGACCTTGCATAGGAATGGAGAACCGGCAATATGGCCCACTTCCAGTCCCACGTAAAGGCTTCTGGGAATCTGGGTGCAGGCAGAGGTTTCACGGTAGTTTCTCTCCCAGAACACTGTGGCCCTTTGGTCTGCTCATTGGTGGGCATGAAGGGGGCTGCCAAAGGCAGGCATTAAGAGGGGGGTTGGTGGAGCGCCTGGGTGTCTCACTTGGTTACGGGTTATGGTCTGCCTTCGGCTCAGGTCATGGTCCCAGGGTACTGGGATAGAGACCTGCATAGGGCTCTCTGCTCAGCAGGGAATCTGCTTCTCCCTCTCTCTCTGCCTCCTACTCCCCCCGCTTGTGCTCTATGTTAAATAAATGAATAAAATCTTAAAAAAAAAAAAAAAAAGAGGGGGGTTGGTTGCTGGGGTGGGACAGTTCAATTTAGCACCAGATGGTAGGAATTGGGAAGATGCCAAGGGGAGGAGGCGTGGGGCCCTCCACACCACAAACTCACTGCCTCAGATGGGACCCAGCAGAGACTGGTCCACTCACTGCCAAAACTAACTTCCTAAAGCCACCTCACTATGTTCCTTTTTCCTCTGAAATCTTCACTGGCTCCCCAGTGTGTCCAGGACCAAACCTACCTCTTCCTTTCAGGTTCAAAGCCCCCCATATCTCTGTGTATCCCTTTCCCAGGTACCTCTGTGAGGCTCCTACCCCCCACCCCTTCCTTGGGTTGGGGGCATCTCCCAGCAGCTGCAGACCTGACGCGTGCTTCCTAAAGTAGCCTCCAGCTGCTTCCTGCGAGGCTCAATTCAGCACCCACAGGGGCCAGCTGGGCTGTGCGTGGTTCCAGCTGCGAGCCTCAGAGTGACGCTGCCTCCCAGTCAGTCTCTCCCCAGCTGGCTTGTCTTCAAGCCTTGGGATTCTTTCTTTCACCAAAATATATTTTAAATATTTAAAAAACTGGTTTCAGGGCACCTGGGTGGCTCAGTCGGTTAAGCCTCTGACCTCAGCTCAGGTCATGATCCCAGGGTCCTGGGATGGAGCCCTGCATCGGGCTCTCTGCTCAGCGGGGAGTCTGCTTGTCCCTCTGCAACTCACTTCTCTCTCTCTCTCAAATGAATAAATAAAACCTTTAGAAATGAAAATAAAAATAATAAGGTTTCATTTCATATGTTTTTAGTTTAGTTTTGTTTTGTTTTTTAAGATTTATTTGAGGGGCGCCTGGGTGGCTCAGTGGGTTAAATCCTCTGTCTTCGGTTCGGGTCGTGATCCCAGGGTCCTGGGATCCAGCCCCGCATCAGGCTCTCTGCTCAGCTGGGAACCTGCTTCCCCCTCTCTCTCTGCCTGCCTCTCTGCCTACTTGTGATCTCTGTCTGTCAAATAAATAAACAAAATCTTAAAAAAAAAAATTTATTTGAGCACAAGCAGGGTGAGGGGCAGAGGGAGAGGGAGAAGCAAACTCCCCACTGTGCTGGGAGCCCAGAGCAAGGCTCCATCCCAGGACCCTGAGCCAAAGACAGACACCTAACCGACTAAGCCACCAAGGTGTCCCAGGTATTTTTTTTTTTTCACGTAATAAAGTAACATAAACCATTCAAATGATACAAGATAGAAGGTATCACCTGGTCCTAGTCCCTGTTAATAGTCTAAATATAATCTTCCAGACTTTCCTCCATGCAGTGTTTTTCCTTACCCGCTCTCCCTTCTCTCCTTCCCTTTTTCCTCCCTCTCTTCCTCCCTGCCTCCTTTTTTCTTTTTTTAGTTTATAACTAGGGGAAAAAATCCTGACACTTTAATATCCCAGCATTGGTGGAAAATCCACAGGTCATACACAAATAAAATAATCAAAACAGGTTCTCACAGAAATTTGGATGGCTGGAAAGCTCATTGAACTTCCAAATTGCTCAAATAGAATTATAAAAAAGCAAAATTGTGTTTTTCACAGAGACTTCAACATGGCTGAGACAAGAATGCAGAATAAAATAGATATTTAAAATTGTTTTTATTTACTATTTTTTAAGATTTTAAAATTTCTTATTGTGGCAAAAACCACATAAAATTTACTACTTACTCGTTTTTAAGTGTACAGTTTGGGAGTGTTAAGTACACTTACCTTATTGTAAAACATCTCCAGAACTTTCTCATCTCATGTGTCTGAAAGTTTAAATCTGAGCAACTCTGAGTTTCCCCTTCCCCACCCAGCCCCTGGTTGCCATTCTTTCTGTTTCTATGAATTTGAGCATTCTAGATACTCTATATCCTTAGTATCATACAATATTTATCTTTTTGTGACTGGCTTATTTCACTTAGCCTCAAGTCCTCAAGGTACATCTGTGTTAAAATTGTTTTATGTATAAAGTAATAGGTGCTTGTTTTATTTTTAGAAAGAAAGCCAGCCAGCCAGCCTCTGAGTAAGAAGTGAAAGTCCCAG